CAGTAGGTACCTCAATTAATCACCTATTGACCATGCTAAAAGGATCCGGTGGTAATTGCTTTAGGCTCCAGTGAGCACGCTTGCCGGACACCTGTGCCCTGTGGGCTTGTCGTCCGGTCCCCCTCCCCACTAATTACAGGCCCCCTGTGGCAATACGCTTATCGTGCAACTGACCAGTGGGGTCATTGATGGACTTGGGTCAGCCGTGTGATTTAATCAGTGTCAATTTCTTGTGTAAAAAGACCACCTTCTGTTCAGTACAAATAACAAGGTGATACGGTTCACAGTTTAAGGTGATACGGGTCAATTAAGCTGATACGGCAGGGAGGATTTCAAACTGAAGCTGATACGGAGCCGTATCAGCTAAATGGTCTGGGGAGAACCCTGAGTCAGGCAACACTGAACAGCAACATCTTCCACTGTCTGATTGACTAATCAATATAGGTTAGAGGTCATATGTCAGTCAGGCAACACTGAACAGCAACATCTTCCACTGTCTGATTGACTAATCAATATAGGTTAGAGGTCATATGTCAGTCAGGCAACACTGAACAGCAACATCTTCCACTGTCTGATTGACTAATCAATATAGGTTAGAGGTCATATGTCAGTCAGGCAACACTGAACAGCAACATCTTCCACTGTCTGATTGACTAATCAATATAGGTTAGAGGTCATATGTCAGTCAGGCAACACTGAACAGCAACATCTTCCACTGTCTGATTGACTAATCAATATAAGTTAGAGGTCAGATATAGGTAGTTTCAGTTGACCAACACTGAACAGCAACTCCCACTATCTTGTAAGACACCATATACAGGTCAGGGATGAAGCAATATCTCTTACCTTGCTGAGGATGTCCTCGGTGTCAGACAGAAGCTCGGCAGACAGTTGCATGCGAGACAGATGAGCCTGGAGCAGGAGGTTGGTCTTCACATGGGGGTCGTTGTATTTCTGTACGGCCAGCTTGTTTGGCAGTCGGGTGGACAGCTGCAGGTAGACACATAACATAGGTTAACTGTGGTTTTTTCTCCACTGCAGCACAGACAAAAAGCCTTAGGATATGTGGCTAAAACATTCAACTTCTAAAGCCTGGACATTTTGGATTTCTATAAATTCTAGCTGATCAGTTGATCAATGACATTTAAATGAGGTGATCACTATGTCAATGCCACAGCTTCATCAAAGAAGTAGCTAATTACACACAGGAAACAGCTTCTAATTACTGAGTTTTCACCTGGTAAGTACATACATGGTGCCAACAGCTATGGGTCTGTTACAACAAATGACAGACAGCCAACATCATAAGAGCTGTTGTAAAACAGACAGCATGAAACAGGTGGAACATGAAAGAAACTATCATATTTCTGTTTTAAATATGTTGAACCGATAGGGAACCTCTTTGCCAAATACTGCATAATGGTGCATATACATAAGCAGATTTTTTGTTATATTTTTTTTCTCCAGAAATTATCAATGATGATACCTGTTTGAGTATTTGGTCCTCGTGATGGCGGATAGCTATATCCTCGTACTCCGCAGCATTAGATATGATCTCCAACAGGCCTTTGATCTTCGTCTTGGCATTCAGGGATATACTGAATGTTTCTGTGAACAGTAGCAAAGAAATCATATATTTCAGAATAAAAACAATTGCTGTGCAAGCAACTGGATTTCAAACTTGATGCAGAATGTTCTCAAAAGGTTTTAATGTTCCTGAACTTGACTGTAAAAGATTAAATCTACTTTAGCTTTATCTTTTGCAAAATTCAGAATTTATCCAAATGAAAGGACACAGGAATGTGTGTCTAGGTTGGCAATCAGCTGATCGGTATAATAGGGTGGGGGTGTCGGTATGGGGGTAGGGTGGGGGTGTCGATATGGGGTAAGGGTGTGTGAAGGACTTATCTATGGTGGTATAGTTGATGTAGTAGAAGGTGGCAATCATTCCCAGGCTGAGTGGTACAATAAGGTGGGGGTGTCGGGTAAGGGGGTAGGTTGTGTGGGAAGGACTTACCTATGGTGGTATAGTTGATGTAGTAGTAGGCGGCGATCATTCCCAGGTTGATCTGTACAATAGGTTGGGGGTGTCGGGTATGGGGTAAGGGTGTGTGAAGGACTTACCTATGGTTGTATAGTTGATGTAGTAGTAGGCGGCGATCATTCCCAGGTTGAGTGGTGTTACATCCATCTCATCTTCTACACTGATACACTGAAATGTTACATATATGCATTGTGTTAATACACCAAGGAAATCAATATTTGGAATAACACTTTAAATATTGAAAGGAATACTGTTGATTTAGAATCTGTCTCTTCCTGACCTATATTTGAGAAAACATTCGATTTCATTTCAATGAAGTGCTGATTTAATAATTCTTAAGTTTGACACTATCATCAAACTAGTGTTATGGCATTGACATGAACAACTCCAGTCAGACACAGTAACTGCTGTAATTCTACATAGATGCTGGTTCTTTTAACTAATGCACTGATGTTCTAGTAAAGTATAGGACATCTCACCTTTGACTGCTCAAGGTCGTTGACTGTATTTTCCACCAGTTCTGACATGTGATCAGATAAATGGCGATGAGTAACTCCTGTAAAATAAAATCATATTTTGTATCTTGATTTCTAAAAATTTAGTTTCAGTGTAAAAGGTCACTTAAACAAGTAAAAGAGGTGAAACGTGCGACACGTTTAATATGTACATTGTTTGTGTAGAAAGTAAAACTTCGATATCAGGTCAAACCTACATCTTTCAGTAGACTAATGTTTATACACGTTGCCAGTTTCCGTTCCGGAAATAACAGTATTTTTTTTATCTGATATGATTTCTTTATACTTTTTCAGATACTGTGGACCAGTTATTATGCCTTACCCTGAAGGTTATAGTAGTTGGGGTTCTGTGTCATGCGGCGGTACACAAACGTCCAGGTGAGGTAGTCCACAGCATCCTGTTTGTTCTCCACAGTCTTGGTGACTATCTCAGCACTAAAGTGATCGTGTAGACAGTGGTCTAGATGGCTCTGTAACACAAATTATAAATACACTAAATCTCTTTACTGAATTAGCTATAATGACAATAATACAGGTTTAAAATGCAATCAAATAATGAAACTGAAGTAGGAAGAACAGTTAATACAACCATTTTCATAATTTTGTTTTGTGTTTTCCTCATCTTTTCTAATAGATCTATTGCATACATGGGGAAGAGGCCATTTGTAATCAAAAAAATAGTAGGGTCTAAAATACTTTTATCATGGATCACGAAAAATTACGGTAGGTGGTGGGAACGGAGTACTCTCCTCCCTCTCTTCTATATATATATCTCCAGGAAGGCCCTTGTACACATGGCACTTACTTTATCTTATAGTAAGTGGGGACTATTTAAAAGAAAAGAAAACTTTGCAATTTCTTTTTTCCCAATGTTTGAAACATGCTTTGAATCTGGTTAGTTTGGACAATTTGGCATAAGAACAAAACAAACAGTTAAGTTAAAGGAACAAAAAGTATTAAAGAAAATTCATTTATTTTCATATTAGCTTCCAGATTATCATTTTTCCAGAGTGCAAATGTCCAGACTAACAAGGTTTTAAATAGACAAGTAATCAATGTAAAATAAACACGTACCTCAACTGGCAATGGCTCATACAAGAACTTCTTAAAGAATTCTTTCTTTGAATTCTGGCAAAGAATGACCGATTTTCCTGAAAGTAAGGAAACAAGAATTTCTGAAGACAGTGTTCTTGGTAAAGAAATATGATAGACATGCAAAAAATAATTTAACACTTTTTTAGTATAATTTGAAATAAAGCTATCATCATCACTAACTTTTTTCTTCATCTCTGTTCTAACTTGAAACTATGTTCATGCTGTCATAAAAACATATAGAGTGATTAGTCCGACAATATTACCTTCCTGGTCCTGGGCGGGTCTGTTAGCTCGACCAATCATCTGTAGTACATCCGTCACAGGGTAGTCCTCATACCTACAAATTCAAGTCAGGAAAACTGTACTTAAATACCTTTTCTGTTAATACAAATTTTAAAATTGGTACATATGATCTTGTGCCAGTGACATTTAAACAAATTTGTCATATTTATTTTTATAATTCAGCAGTTCAACTATAGCCATAAAAACTGAATTACACTTCCAAGTCTATCATATCAAGTTATTAATTTATCATCACCAGGATTTTTTTTTTTTTTATTAATTTCAAGTTTTCATTCTGTATAACAGAAACAGTAACCCATGTAATAAATCAAGTAATTTGTTACTTTGATTATTCAAATCTGATGAAAAATAACTTTTTCACAGACAAATGACTAATAAAAGCAAGATTTATTTTCCTGTTGTAACACAACTTACGAATGACTCTTTCCATCGTAGTACTGTGTATCCATGACAACAACCAGGTGACTTGCAACATTCATGCCCCAGGAGAGACTGCGTGAGGCGACAAGAACCTGTACTGCTCCACTAGAAAACAGGTGTTCCACTGCCTTCTTCTCTATGTCTCCAAGTCCTTCATGTAGGTAGCCTACTCCATTACTCAGGGTCTCCTTCAGGGTCTACAGGGGACACACAATTATACAATAATTACTGACAATCTAGAATGTTGATACTTTTATCATAGACTCATCAAATACTTTTACATTATTAATACTAGATACATAAATGTTCCCATATCAACTTGAGAATTAAACATTTTAAGTCAACAAGTTAGATGAATTCAATTTCACAATTTTTGTTTTTTGAAATATATTCAAAAGGTTTTAAATTCGCAAGTTAATACCATCAAACACAGTACTAAGCACCTTATCTCTTGAGTTTCATATTACAAAACCATATCGCATCGTACTACACTCTTTGTCTGTGTTTTTCACATTCCACGACTGTGATTTTTGTATTCCACAATAGTATGTAGAACAACCCACCTTGTCTGTGATTTTCTCCAGGAATGGCTGTATGTCCTCCTCCTTGACGTGTAGGAACCTGCTCCTGGGGACATCACTGTCTGGTTGGATTTCTGCAGCACTGAACGTCAGGATATCAATGGCTGTCAGCCTCGTCTGTTTCCGTGATGGTACAAATATGATCACAGGTTTCTTTGGTGCATGCCGAATAATGGCCTGGTAGGCTGGTTTTGCCATGGCAACAATACGGGAGGCATTGTGACTGGTGTTGAAACCCTGAAACACATAAATTCTATTTTATAAACTTGTGTACTGGAAAACATATTTATAATGAACAATGGGAACCTAATATAATAACTTATGTTTAAGTCTAAGGATACCGGCCTGACATTTAAAGTGATGTTTTACGTATCTATGTGTAACTACAGACGTACAAGGTAGACATTGTAATTGAAGTTACACAAAACTGACCTGTATGTGGAGCTCCAGGGGCACAGGGCGAACATTGGGGTGGAAGTTGAAGAATCCAGTGGCACTGCATCCTAGCCATTGGGACACGTCTTTAGCATTGGACAGCGATGAGCTCAAAGCCACAATTCTGATGTTGATACGCTCCAACTGGGAGGACATGTACCGCATACGTGAACATATCACTTCCAAAACAGGCTAAAATAAGAAAAAATAATCATACTATTTCACATCACTCTAAAAAAGGCTGAAGTCACTGATAATGAACAAGCACATATTCACAATCTCTAAAATAGCTGCAGAGATAAAAATAATACATATCACCTCCAACACAGACTAATGTAGGAGATGAAAACAGTTTAAACGCAAATCACTTCTCTCACTGAAGTAAAAAGATTAAATGCAAGTATGCAGCCCCAACACAATAAGTACATTTATATCCTAATCAGTATTATATATATCAGTACATTTATATCCTAATCAGTATTATATATATCAGTACATTTATATCCTAATCAGTATTATATATATCAGTACATTTATATCCTAATCAGTATTATATATATCAGTACATTTATATCCTAATCAGTATTATATATATCAGTACATTTATATCCTAATCAGTATTATATATATCAGTACATTTATATCCTAATCAGTATTATATATATCAGTACATTTATATCCTAATCAGTATTATATATATCAGTACATTTATATCCTAATCAGTATTATATATATCAGTACATTTATATCCTAATCAGTATTATATATATCAGTACATTTATATCCTAATCAGTATTATATATATCAGTACATTTATATCCTAATCAGTATTATATATATCAGTACATTTATATCCTAATCAGTATTATATATTGCAATTTACACTTGATATGATTTTATCCAAATAAGTAAACTTTTTTACTACACATTAAATTTAAAGAACATTTCAGGTGCCATAGAGAAAACAGCAGGATTTGTTTTTTTCCTATTAAGGCTGGTATGCCTTACCCCAACATCTACTCCAATTAGGTGAAGCTCGTCAACGATGAATAAGTTAACGTTCTGAACATTCTTCCTCTGCTTCCATCGTCTTGACAACACATCCCACTTCTCTGGGGTACTGATGATGATGTTACCCTGGAAACAAACAGATTAGATTAAACATGTTATGAATATTTATAGAATGGATTTTGAACTGTTATTTGATCATTATAAGTTTTTATTACATTAAACATTACTTTTTTTAAACTTTGAAATTCAGTAGCATACCTTGGCCAGGAGTTTAAGATCAGTTCCAGTTTCTCCTGTCAGCAGAACGACTTTCTTTCCAAGGTGTCCTCCAAACTTGGTCTGCCAATCATTGTACATCTGAAACAAGAAACCCACAATATAAACTATCTCCCAATTTTGTCAATATTTTTCTTTTCCTTTTGAGATTTCAGGCATGGACTATTCCTTAATTGATTACATAGGGGATGTGGGAGTACCTGCATTAATGTATTATGAGTAGCTGGTTATATACAAATCTGCCTGCCATTCCTTACAATTCAAAATTTGATGGGTGGTAGGGCCTTTTAAAAGGTGCCTCCTCTCTTATTAATCCATGAGAAATGTATTATGTATCCCCCCTTCTAAGGAAACATAACTTTCTATGGTGTTTCTCTGAAGTAAACATCAAATCAGTTTAACAATGGCTTTTGTTTTTTTAAACAAGGCATCAGTTTGAGCGATCTTTCAAAATATTCTGCATTGGGAAACTTCTGTCATATTGTTAGTCATACATATTAATGATTTGTAGTAGTGGGAGATATGAAATCTAGCTACCTGTTGAGCCAGTGCCTCTAGAGGTGTAACGTACACACATCGACCGTCTGGGTTCTGGGAGAACATACGTAGCATAGCAAACTCTCCACAGATGGTTTTGCCACTACCAGTGGGCGCCCCGATGAACACATTGTCATCACTGTTGTATACAGCATTAAACACTAAAACAGAAAGGAAAGAAATATTACACAATAATATAATAACAGTAATTTAGATATTGATCCAAAAATAGTCTTATCAATTATTAATAAAGTTTATATAGGAACTTCAAGTAGCTGTAAGAGTGTGATTTTCTTTCTCATTCTAATTAAAATTGGCTGCTATCTCCCATGGTAACTACTTCAACCATCCTTTGTTTTAAATGATCAGATGTATGTAATATATCTTCAATCTTATAACTTCAATGCAACAATTTAAAAGATAAATTTTGAAATATAATCTTTCTGTAAACCATCAGATAGTGATTATTTCACTGTCTTAACCTGGAAAAAGTCATTATATTTAAATAAACGTTTAACGGCAAATGTCTGCAATAATAAAAGTATTTGAGATTACCTTGAGTCTGAATGGGGTTGAAGAAGGGGAACTTGTCATTGTAGAGCCCCTCAAAGGAGGCATTTCTGAGGGCAGACACTGGGAGGGGCTGGAGATCAAGAAGTTCTGTGGGAGGAGGGTACTTTTCTGGTAGGATGAGGTGACGGAATGACACCGGGAGCTGTGTCTCTGACCCTAACCAGCGGTCAGATATCACCCTGATGAAATACTGTGGAGGTAGAGGCTCAAACACTGGTACAAAGAACTTCACAGCGTGTTCATCCTGTGCAAATTTACTGTAAAAAAACGCAGGTAGTTTAGTGTGATACATCAAACTTATTTTAGGTAGCAAAATTTGTTTTTTTAATGTTCATGTAAATAATTTTGAAACTACATATAAATATTATATTAATACTTTGATAGGAAATAATTAACATTGAAGACATCATAAATCAGAAACTGGTTCTTGCCTCATATTTTTATCATAGCATTTCATGTCAGACAAGACAACATTTATCTTTCAGGAACAACTAACCTTTTCAGAAGAAAGTACTCGTGATGTAGAATGACCTCGCTGTCAACATCCTCCACCAATATCCAGAATGCCTAAAGACAACATACGGTATATCTCACAATTGCTGTATAACGTACTTTCAATTATTTCCATGATATACTAATATGCCCTTACAATAAGAGTTGATCAATATTACAATGTATATTCAAGCATACCTAAAGAAAGAAATGAACGTATTGTTTATACAACGAATGTGTAAATTAATTTTCATATCAGGAATTGTATACATACAAGGGAAATTTAACTTATTGTTTGTCTATACAAAGAATAGTTTACTTAACTGTTCATTTCTCTAAGGTATAGTATGAAATCAATACAAGTGTGACTCAAACTCTGTCATAATCTGTGCTGTGCAATCTGCAGAGAACCCATTTGTTTTGAACCCATTAAAATTTGTCCCTTCTATTTTAGTGGAAATCCACAGTTACCTCAGAATTTCCATGGATCTTTTCCTCCCACTGGAAGTCTGGTGTGATTGTCAGCTCCACACGAAGTGTTGACCGTGTAATTGGCTGGACATGGACAGATAACTCCAACTTCGGGAACTGATGCACATACTTGTGAATGGTCTTGCCACTCTTGGGAACACGGATAAGTTCAGCAATCTCATGGGGGTTCAGATCATACAAACGCTCAAACGGGAAGTTCTTCTTCTCAATCTTCTTGATTACCTCAATAGGCATCTTCCTGTCAGCAAATTGTCGCAGAGGGCACATGGACTGCCACCTGTAATGTCAACCAGGCATCACTCAGTTATCAAGTCTTTACAGCTACATTGGTCAAGTAATAACTGTTCAGACAAGAGGTTCAAAACAGTTTCTATTAATTGAGTACAAAAATATTCATTTTCTGTATGAAATCATATTAAACTAAACATCTTTAAATGCAGCTGAGAAATCATCGTCGATATCCAGGGCTTACACTCACTTTCGATCAGTGCAGAGAGCGTAAGCGAGTGTAACCCATGGAGTATTGAGGATGCTGAGAAATTTTGTTTTTGAGAAAAAGTAGTTGAGAATTTTTAGTTTTTGAATGAATTTGATTATAAACGCCAGTCTGTCTGATTCACAAAAAGTCAACAAATACACGGGAAAAAGACAGCAGATGAAAAAAGCCTGTAACAACTTTCAAATTATAAATGTAATTTTCAACAGAATATTTGTATAAAACTCTTTTTGTATATCAACATGCAGATGGGAATATGTATAGAATTTGATGATAAGAAAAATACTTACATTCGTTTGGTGACCATCTTACAGAGAGCTAAACACTTGTCCGCCAGCTGGGCCCAGCCTCGGTGAAGGACAATCTCAAACATGGCACGCACCAGTCGACCAGCAGACTGGGTGATGAATACCATGTCCGACATGAGAGCAAATCCCTCCAATTTTAACTGGGAAATGTAGGCTTGTAGCAGCACATTCACCTGGAACGTAGATATACAAATATAGTAAGTCTGACATTTCTCCAGTACAAAACTGAGATATGTACAGCTGTAGTAGTATGTTTACCTGGAATATATGTACTAGCAAGTCTGAAATGTGGAACTTAAGAATATTTTCGTTTAAAACTAGGATATGAATGTCTGCATAAATATATACAATATTTTATGAAACTAAATTCATATTCTAGTTTTAAACTGTTTCTAAACAGCACCAAATGATTGGGAATATTTCGGTTGTGTAACCAACCTGAAGCTGCTATACAGTAACTACCCATGGACCAAAGAGAATGGCTCTGTGTCAGATTAAGGATGGATCCTGGAGTTTAAAGTGTTCAGTAACCTCTTTATCACAGGTCAAAATTTGACATACCTTTGCACTGGGTTCTTCTATGCTTTCCTTGATAGGGATAGGGACTCGTTCCAGTAGTTTCAGAAGCTCCAATTTTTCCTCCTGTTTATTGTAAAAGTTTGAATGCTGCGTTAACATATGTGTGAAATAAAAATGTTTTCATCAAATAATGTTGTCAGTAAATATTATTGTAACACTTTTTAAGAAAATATGTCATACACATTGTTTCATTTGAGATAAGCAGACTTGGGTAAAATTTGGTGTTTTAAGTTAGATTGTGTGTAAATTTTATGTAAACAGTGCAATTTTATAACTTGATGTGTCACTGGACAAGTAACATACCTACCCAACTGTATGGTTTAGGCAGTGTAAGCGATGTAGACATTACAATGTCTACAAGTATGAGGCTTTGCCAAGTTCCTGAAACTTCAAATATTTGTAAACTGAGAGTTTATCTTTCTTTGTTTCCATCACACATGGACATTTGATTCTTTTCCTTGTCTGTTATTTTGACAAAATTACCATTCACATTGTGCTTCAGTCATTCAAGCACAATGTCACATCGATCTTGTTACAAGTTGTGCCAAAGGCCCAGCCACAAGGGATAGACAACATTTTCTAGCACTGTTGTATACTCTTGTTTGGTAGCAACATATCTTATGCTATACATACCTCTCTGACATTGATGTACTTGAACTCGGAGGACAATGAGAACACACGGAACAGCTCTATCTCGCTTAGTGTTGGCTTCAACAGCTGATTGTATACAGAGATTGTCTCATGTGTACAGTAGTAGTGACTTGCGATACGACCAAGCTCTGTCACCTAAAAGTACCGAATTGTAAACACATGAATTAATGTCATTTTTAACCCTCAAATGTTTTCCAAAGTCTTATTTAAATCTCAAGGAATTTGAATTATTTATCAAGCGCATTCAATTTTTTAACAGCAAAAATATATCACGGTGAACTGATCTGAATTCAACTTTGTTAAATTCTTCTACATTCAATCTGATGATACAGGAGTGAACTAAAACTGAACAATTTCTTAGACGACACATACTTTTCACTAGCCAGTTGTTTGGAACTAGACTTAGAGACTATTCCAAAGAAATTTGACTACACCTGCTCAAAAACAGACTAAAAGACTAAAATATTCAAAAGGATACATGCCTTACTAATTATACCACAAGAATAATTTAAAGAGAATTTTATATACTACTTTCTTTTTGGCTTAAGCCCTGTCTTTTTAAGTGATAAATATCATACCTGGAATTGTCCCGACTTTTTGTCGTACTTGACCAGGTTGTTTTTGTCCAGCAGGGTAGCGGCCGTGTGGATGAGGTCCTTGCGTCTTTGTTGTAGTAAGGGGTCATCTCTAAGCTGGTCATGGCTAATACCATACAGCGAAGATGCCCGTAACATACGGATGTACAGGTAGGTATAGCCTACAACATAAACAGTTTATAAACAGGAAGGTAGTCTACCTAACAATAAGATATATACAGGTAGTTAGTCTACCAAACCTACAAAACAAACAGTGTATAAACAGGTTGGTAGTTTACATAATAATAAGAGATATATACATGTCAGTAGTCTACAACACAACGTACGGACTGATATAGCATACAGAGTTTGCCTTAATGCTGTCTTCTTTTAATAATTCCATTTGAACTATGCCAAAGCACCCATTTATGAAGCATTAGGTGCTACCACTCGCCTGTTATGCAACATATATTGTACAACACAAGAGATATACGTACCTAGCCAGTCAACAGCATCTTTGACATTCTGAACTGTCCCAAGCACAACCTCAGCATTCAAGCAGTCAGCTAGCCTGGAGATAAACTGGCTCTCGATGGGCAACTGGAACAACAAAATACTGAATAAACATATACTTAAACCATGAACGCCCTCTACAACATGAATACTATTTTTGCAGGCTGTACTTAACTTTACCAAGAAAAAAACACCTTTTTATAGATAAATACATTCAGTAATATCATGCTTTCCAAATATCAAATTTGTAAATTTTGGAAACTCAACATTTTAGTTTTGATATCTAGAACAAAAAAATCTTTTATTTAACATGCTAGTAATAAAAGCTGATCACAACATCAATAATGTATGAAAAGACCAAACCATGAATATCATTTATAAATCTTGTTGGACATATGTCACATACCTGTTGGTTCATTAGGGACAGGTAATACTGTAGCTCACTGTGATTGGTAATCATCACTCCCTCTCCCTTGGTGTCAAACTGGGGTCGACCAGCTCGGCCCATCATCTACAAAGGGAAGTGTAAATTTTAGTAAGAGACAAACTGGGGATGACCAGCTCGGCCCATCATCTACAAAGGGAAGTGTAAATTATATAGTTTGAGACAAACTTGGGACGACCTGCTTGGCCGATCATCTGAAATGTGAAGTATAAATTTAAGTTAGAGAGACAAACTGCGGATGACAGGCAAAGGGCAAGAATGATTTAATTTATTGTTAAACTGGGGATGATTGGGTCACCCCAACATCTACAAATGATCAGTGTGAAGTTTAGTTAGTGAAAACCTGGGATAACTGGCTTGACCCATCATCTACCATGGGTAAGAGAAGACTTTAATTCTTGTCAAAATGGGCCAGGTATTCATTACTTCAGTGTCAAAATACATAACAGTAAGTAGCCGAGTAGTAATAACAATGGAAAATATTGAGAGCAACCAAATTTCATTTCCTCCGGACAAATCTTAGTATCAAACATGAACTAAGGTCTAGAACTCTGTATATACTAAACAACAAAATGTTGCTTACTTGCTTAAAAAATTTGGCAATTAAAGGTTACAGAATATACAATATGCCCTTGACAAATTGATGCACAGATGGACAGACAGATGCATTGTCAACCTTTCGTCACTTGCTGTATAACTGATAAGGATCTACAGAAGTTTGATTGTACAAACCTGCATGACATCGAGGGCACTGAGCTCTACCCAGCGCCCCTTTTCTGCGTTGTACACCTGTGTGCCCTTGATGATGACAGTGTGGGCGGGGAGGTTAACTCCCCAGGCCAGTGTCGAGGTGGACACCAACACCTGGATGTGACGGTCCTTAAACAAGTCTTCTACCAAGATACGGTCAACTCTGTGTAACAAAGTCAGGAAATTCACATTTACGTTTGAATAGGATTAGATTGCATTTTTTCTAAGAGTATATCTTGAATAGTTGTTATTCATTGGATATTCTGTACATTTGGCCTCAAACTGACTTATTTGTACATCATTATATTACAAGGTAGCTACATTCAAAGCTTGTTTAGTAAGACAATTTCATTTCATGTTTAGGACACAAACTCTAACCCTTGCAAGAAATTGTCTCCGGAGCAAAAAACAAATCATTACAAAGAACTACAGCAACCTATTTTGGCTCAATGGATTCATCATGAACAAGTTTCACTGTATTTTTAATTAATGAAAAAAAATAGTTATATCTAAAATATGTGATATTTTACATATCCTATACAGGGGTATGTCCCAGTATGTTAGAAGAAAACACTTGTGATTTTGTTGAGTATTATGACTATATACTTACTTGGTCATACCAGCGTGATGTATAGCGAATCCATATGGTAGCAGATCCTTAAGCTCCAAATTCTGAAACAAACAACAACGTATGATGTAATGGAAGAAATATTCCATTTTATTGTAAACCATGAAATTTGGACTCATGATCTAACTTGGATCCTAAACCATGGCCCTAGGATTTGTATCATAAACCATATATACTTTTGCTCTCAAAACCTGGTATCTTAAGACCATTAACTTTTGACTTTAAACTACCATTTTGACCAATAACTTGGAACTGTAAATGATAAAATACATGTCCTTTATACCTATAAATTGGTTTCATTAACAATACCCATTGTACATCTTCAGCACTTTTCTCATAGTTATTAACCATTCCCTTTTGACCTATGACCTACCTTGACCTGGTCAGCTTCAGTCCTGAGTACAGCTGTGGATGCTGAGCCTTCCTTGAGGAACATGCCTAGGGTATCCTTCTCTAGACACATATCTCTGATAGCACGAGCAGTCTTTCCTGTCTCCTTCCTCGAGTGGACGAACACCAGCACCTAGGGGTATATCAAATCCATGTTAGTAATGGCCAAAACTTGTGTAGAAGTCACATCTAGCCAGGTATTTTGTGTGCAGAGGTAGCTATGTAGCCGCTACATGCAAATACTTTATGTGTTAATGCTTTCCACATCAGAAACGGCAATGCTCAGACTAAACATTCAGATTCATTGTTAGTCAGAAATCAGGGTTCAAAATAGCTCATCATTGCATTGACCATTTCAAGGACTAGTTTTCTTGCATACTAGACCGCGAAATCTGTATCAAAACATTAGGAGATTAATCTTAATATTTTTTGATTCAGTATGAGATTTGATAGAGGAAAAATAACCTTTCCATAAAATCTAAACGAAGTACCTGGTTTTTGCCGGCATTTTCCATCACTTTGTCGTATACAATTTCATTCATGATCTGAAATCGCTTGACAGCTTTCTTTTCTGTGATACCAATGAACTGCTGTTCTAGAGGAACAGGCCTAATGCTGTTGTCGAAGAAGAAGAGTCCCTCAGCTGGGTCGACACGCAGGAACGTGGCAACATCTTCATAGTTAGGCAGAGTGGCACTGAGGCCCACCAGTCTTACATCCTCCTGGGTGGTTTCTATGTTCCTTATAGTCCTACAGGCATATAAATAATACATACAAGTAAATACACCTTATAGAAACTGAACATTCTTCACATTTGATGTATCATCAATTACCAGGCATGATTCATTGAACATCTTCGCATATATGCTGTACAACTCTTAGTTTGTCTTTCTTAGTCTGACAGAGTATAAGCGGTATACCTTCCAATTAGGATATAGTTTTTACTGTAGGTTTATCAAATATGTTTTAGTTGAGTCTACAACAAATTGGAGAAGGGAGATAACTCTGCTGTCCTTACCTGGCTACCAGGGCTTCCAATACTGGTCCTCTGTCATCGTGAAGCAAGTGGATCTCGTCCTAAAAATTTTAAGAATATATAAATCTTATTGATGACCAAGCATAACAAGTTATATTGAAACCAGTAAAGATACACAGAAAGCATTGTTTACAAATATATAATGAGGAAATCATTACATAGGCAATAAGGTTTGAGAAAAGTCCAATTTTAAGTACTGCTTATCAGTTAGCTGTTCAATCAATATTCAGTGTGATCCCACTAACAAACAAGAATGCTTTTTCATATGGCACAGACAATAGATCAACCAGAAACATTGTTACTAGCTTATTGGTTATAGCTGAAAATAGCAAGAACTCAATTAAATCAAAATATAGCCTTCAATGATCTTAACCTTAATCTGAGCTCAATAGCACTTCAAAACATACCTCCTTTATACAAACCATCACCAAATGTGTGAGTGGGTACCGTAGCCTCATTAACAACATGTCACCACACCCATATTATCAGAACGAACGATATAAGGGGAGATAACTTACAAATATCATAAGTCTGACAAGTTGAGTGTAGGTGCGTTCTCCCCCTTTTCTAGTGATGATATCCCATTTCTCCGGAGTACACACAATGATCTGTGTGGCATAAATCTGCTCTTTGGTCAGTTGATGGTCACCAGTCAGTTCCTCCACCTTGATGCCATATGACTTCAGGCGCTGGAATAACAATTAGACAGCATATGTTAGTGAAAACCGTTCAGTATACATCACTATATATATATAAAGCTCTATCCATAAAAATCTTCTACATGTGAACTAGAACTTAAATGGAATCAAAGTTAAACACAGAAATATTCATGAGGGTAATATACACACATTTGATGCCATTTGAGTCTCATGGATAAATGGACTCACAATGGTTATGTTGAATCGGTCTTTGCGGAGATAAATCATGAAATTAAATCCCTAGCAAAATATCTATATATAGTTCAGGTTTTATAGACAAAATTTCATCACTTAATACATAATACAACACTCAAATTTAGTTAAAACAAATTGTATAAGCTTCACGATCTGATAAACATGCTTGGGCCAACACAGGTACATGTGCACGATACCCTTCTAGCAGCCTCTATATACTTTTCCATCGGAAGGGTTCATACAAGAACATGTTCCCCCTATTATACGTCTTGTATCCTGAACATACCTCTCCAAAGCTGAAGACCATTTCCTGTACAAGTGACTTCATGGGAGCGATGTAGATGATCTTAAACTCGTCAGTGTTGATGGTGTTATCAGCGTTGATGTGTTTACTGATCTCCTTCAGCATACACATCAATGCTACATTGGTTTTACCAGCACCCTGTAATCATTATAAACAACCCTTATTACACACAATTTGTACTACTTACACTACAGGACATATCTGTAGCTGTGATCATTTCTATAATGACTTTAACTGGTTACTTTGATATGGTATTTGGTATCTTTTTTTTTAGAATCACCATACATTATTGCTTGTAAGCTTATGTTTTGTGGTATACATATTTATACTCTTTGATGAACAGATTTTAAACCTAGGAGTTTAACTGGAAATAAGCCCTTTCTGCAAACAGGTTCAACTTCAGACAAGACTAATGTTCATTTCATAGCCATGAACTGGGCCCTTCATCTTGTTACAGATTAATATTAGATCTAAGGTACACAAAAAGAAAATCCTCCTAAAAACGCCGTAAAATTAAACCAACCATAGGATGTTCAGACATTGTATTGACCTGGCAGCATGCAACAGGAAATTCCGGCATTATACTTATCATGGGAGCAAAATATTTTGATCAGGGGAGTGTAGAGTAGGAGGTTCAGACATTATACTGACCGTGGGAGCACACAGTAGAAGGTTCTGGTCGGACTCCAGAGCAGCCTTACACAGACGACTCTGTATCCTGTTTAGGTAAGTAAAACCTTCAAATGCTGGCTGGGCGTATTTGGGAAGTCGCTCAATCGGCACCAAGGACTGACAAATTAAAGTAATATCTTATTTCAAAGTAATATACCAAAATATGCCAATCTCAATATTTGTGAACATTTATACATCAAACACAATATTCTGTCACCTGAATATCCTTGTTAAAAGTAGATAACTGTATTTGAAGCTTGGGATGCTTGAGAATTCAATATGAATCTTCAGAATGCTCTCTACACCCCTGGAATATGTCATAGCAAAATTGAAGGCTCAATGTGCAGCACCTTGTGGATGAGACGAAAAGACTTGTTTGGTCCTTTGATGTACATCAAAAGAATCTCACAGTCACATAACGGTCAAAATTGACAGGCTTTGAAGTCTAGTCAGGTATTTTAACCTGACACCAATCAAATAGCTGTGCCTTCAATTTTGCTATGACATATTCCAGGGGTGTAGAGAGCGAAAGTGAGCGTAACCCCTGGATATCGAGGATGTCTATTTGGATGTAACCAATATTTACCTCATCAGCATCAAATGCCTTTGGCTTGAGAGCAGGCACATGTACTTCTTCATATCCTACAAAATACATTGAAATCATAGTCAATATCTTCAAACATTTGCAATATAAAAAACAATGCTTTAAACAGAATCAGCAGAAAAAAGGAAATGTCAATGTTTTATGATTTTTGGAGACAAAAACAGGTTATATGATAAATTACTTCCACCTAAACAAATAACACACAATTTTAATATATTCAACAAGCTATATCCATTAAGGGCTTATTCTCGATGACCTGTTGCAACAGAAATTGTACATTGAAGATACTGTTTATAAGGATGGTAACAGTTGCACTTAAGTTTGTAACAGAACCCTATGCCACTAATCAAGTAGGTTTTACTAGTTACTTTTTTCACAGGTGACTTGGGTCGATATGAAAGATCATATCACAGTAGTCCTATCTCTAGTTTGTCATGATTAATTTGTCTCGCTCACAAAACCATTACCAATTAAGAAATTTGATTTTAAAATAAACAAACCTTTCCTCTGTTTCCTAAAGGAGCCGTCGGGCAGCTGGCAACGTTTGTTGGCCATCAAATGACTACCTAATCCGAAGATGAGGTCCTCAAGGTCAAGATTCTGGACATTCCCAAGGGACTGCTATACAGCATGAAAAGTAAAACGTACAATTCTTTACTACATTGCTTTTCAATTGTGCAATAATTACTGACAATTTTTATACAAGAATATCAGCAAACATCAAGGCGTATATTTACATCACTATCATATAGATCTGACTGAAGGGGAAATATATCAGAAGACATTCTAAGTTTCTCACAATGGAACAGTTTCTAAACTAAAAACTCTAAAACAGAGTATGCATTTCTCACATTGTACAGTATTATTTTTATAGTTATTTGAAGTGAACCGAGTCTAACTTCAATGTGCGTTTCCTGAGAAATGATGTCTACATTTTGACCTACCTGTTGATGGTCTGTATCCATTGCTTCCAGGTTAGCGGCGACCCGTGACTGTCGGGCCTGCTGACGACGGGCTCGCTCCTCTGACACAATGTCCTCCTTGTCGGCAGCCTCTAACGCATGGAGATACTTGGAGAGTCCAGCATCACTCTCCATCTTTTCCTCAATCTTTGTTTTCTCTTCAGCTGTCTGAGCCTGGGCCAGCATTGTACAGAACAAGACTGAAACACAATGTACACATTTGTTAACTGTAAAAGCTATACTGTTCTTTTTGCACAATTTTAAATCTTTTCTAACATTTTCTGGATAATACCATTTAGTGGTTAATAAATAGCTTCTGTGTACTACTGCTAGCTACAATACTACAAACAATTTAACTTCTGTTGAGTATTAACATTCACATTGTCTGTGGTTGCAGCGAAACTGCAAAAATAAGTATCAACAGATGTTTTATGTTATCGAGTATCAAAATAAAGAAAATGTAGAAACCTCAAAAAATGTGTACAACAAATTAAAACAGATAGAGAACATGAAGGATGACAAGGGTAGGGAGGGGTGAGAGAACAGGTCATTTACTACTGATGCTTGGTTCTACTCATAATGTACTAAAACTCGGGGGAAGGAAATCACCCTCCACTACCCTGTATAGCATAACTACTTACTCATCTGCCTGAACTGTCGCAGCACTTTGATGAAGTCAAACTGTGTGAAGCCGAGCAGACGGACAAGTTGGTTCTCCGTGTCTCTATCATCACTGGCACTCTGAAGGACACAGGACAAAGAGATTGACATAGCTGATATACACTGGAGGACACAGGACAAAGAGATTGACATAGCTGATATACACTGGAGGACACAGGACAAAGAGATTGACATAGCTGATATACACTGGAGGACACAGGACAAAGAGATTGACATAGCTGATATACACTGGAGGACACAGGACAAAGAGATTGACATAGCTGATATACACTGGAGGACACAGGACAAAGAGATTGACATAGCTGATATACACTGGAGGACACAGGACAAAGAGATTGACATAGCTGATATACACTGGAGGACACAGGACAAAGAGATTGACATAGCTGATATACACTGGAGGACACAGGACAAAGAGATTGACATAGCTGATATACACTGGAGGACACAAGACATAAAGATTGATATAGCTAATAAAAATAACATACACAAGAAATTTCTTTGAAATATAAGCCTCCTATTGATCATTTTTATTTCCTTTCTGTACAAGTAATCATGTACATTCATGGACATTTATATTCTTAAAGACATGTACAGTCTTTGAGAATATAAAATGTTATGAATGTACATGAAAAATACTCATATTTCTTGTTTATGTGTCAGGTAAAAATTTGTGATCCCTCCTCCCAAAAAAACTATACATTGCATACTGTTAAATATTCTATTATTATCAAATTCACAGAAAGCAAAAATTCTAGAATTTTTATCTTGGTAACTGGAACTGATAAAAGTTTTGAATACTGAATTCAAGAATAACATACCATTATATTCAAGCAAATTTGTTCAACATATTACTTTCAAGAAATTTTATCTGTAAAGGATCACAAAGATACTGATTGGAGATAGTACTACCTTGAGAATTTCCAAGACCTCCTGGGCACGGGTCTGGGCGGTAGTAGGGTCGTCAGGATAGTATTTACTTAACTTCCTCTGTAACCAGAATGCATCAATATCTCGAGGATGGAGACCAGAGTCTGATTTACCTACGGAATCATCACCACCGGCCAGCTAAAAATTTCAAAATACGTTTCATTTGGTAAATTGATACCAGCATCTCATCAGCCAGAGAATGATGAATATGAATTTTGAAAACAAAATTACATTTCACAATTATACCCAATTTAAGCAACGAAGGAACATAGTGTATTTTGAACCAACAGACAATCTTAAATGTTATATATGTCTGCAATAAGACCCATTAAATATGATTCTGTCAACTGGACACCATCTTGTAATAACATTTGCTTAATTATATCAGGGCCCGTTATTCATGAAACCGTTCTCATGCTCGAAGTCAAATTTCGTGCTCAAGCCCAATTTCTTATTCCAGTGATAAATTTATGGAAAAGTACATTTACATCTGGAAGAATTTGGGAAAGTCATTGAGCTGAATACCATTTTCGACGTTTAAACTTGACTTTTTGACAGTGTAACATTATTTTAAGCCAGCAGCTAGAAAGTAGGTTTGAGAATAGAAGCCATGCTTGAGCACGAGAATGGTTTCATGAATACAGGCCCATACCTCTTAGTTGTATTGTAATAGTAAAGTAGTCTGATCACTTACTTTCTTTCCTTACTTTTCAAAACTCAATTTCGTATCTATATGCATACCCAAAAATAACTAAAAGAAGATGATAATGAATTAGTCATGTACAAAGGATTGACTCATGGGCTAGACAAGCGAAACTATAGACAATATTAAACATGAGTGATGTACAATCCAACAAACCATGGTGATCTGTGTTGGGGGGAAGCAGTCATGCGGAGGCAGAGCTTAGACAGATTTAATTTGGGGTTGATGTTACACATGTACACTGCTGGTATTTCAAGTTGCATGAAAGAGTTGCCACAAATTTTCGTGTTAGGGGAAGTTACATCAGGAGAACTCTGGTATATATGTTCCAATTTGATCCAAAAATTATGAGAATGTTGTGATGTATGTCTTTGTCCTACAACTTACATTGGCATGTAGAGTTACATCCAGCTCAGCTTCTTCCCCTTCACTTTCATCGTCATCATCTTCATCCTTGATTTCCCCATATACATCTGCATCATCCTTGAAATGTGAAGAAATAACAATGTCACTACTTTTTATATTACTGACTGTCCGGGATCAATCTATGTTTTGAAGGAATTCATATTTGTTTGTGATTTAAGTGAAAATAAGCACATTTTCATCCGGCTTTTCAGTTCACCCCATGAAATTTGAATACAATCAGATTAGATGCGCAAAGAATCATTCTTTTCTATTTAACTGTAAATTACTATAGAGTTGATACTTATACAACACAATTCAATACTTAAACATAGAAACAAAAATGGTCAGATTTCATTTTTTCAGGATATTTCAGGATATGGTAAAATGGACAAGTGTTTCTTTAACTCTTTTTCGCACACACGTTCAATTAATAATATGTATCCATGAAATGTAAGCGTTAAAATACCTTGCTTTTATCCTATCTCAAAACAGCACCTCATCATTTTCTTTGAAAAAAAATCACTAAATTTAATTAATTTGAATTAAGAGTAATCCATAACACAGCTGAAAATCCAGTTCTGCATAAATATCTGAGGTTCATCAACCTGACACATTACATATTACCAGTATCTTAATACCTGTAATACTACACATGGTCGTAAGAGGCGACTAAATTAGGGATCTTATCTTTTCTCTTCTTTCTAAACAACTTTCTTCTTCCTAATGTCTCCCTTGACAATGCCTCACTTTTGGCCTTTAGTTGAGCGTTTGCCCCTGTGAGGAAGGCTTTGGGTTCTGTCCCCTGGTCGAGGCATACCAGAGTCTGTAAAAATGGTAGTTTATACTCCTGTTTAACGCTCCGCAATTTAGGAGTGGGACGACTGGTTTGCCCGTTGTCAGTATAATGTGAACGGGTGGGGTGTCTTGCTGGGTGTCTTCGGCAGTATGTTTCAGTGAGGTAGCACTATAAAGTCGGTATCAGTTCCGCGCTATCACAAGGAGACAAACACGAACATATTGCAGCCTCCCAAAATACACACGCATACACTACACGAATGCATCTTGCACACAGGGGAGGCCGTCCTTAAATGACCAAAGCTGTTGATAGGCCGTTAAACAATACTAAACCAAACCAAACTAATATGAAAACAACATTAACCAAGTTCAGGTATGTTACAAGAGTTGCTCACCTCATCTTCAGATTCTTCAAATTGTACATTCACACCATATGTTTCATCTATGTTCTCATCTGTAAGAAGATATAAAAGCATATTGGAGAAAGAAAACATACTGTAAACATTTTCTACATGTTACAAAATGATTAATTCATTTCAAGCCTATGAATTGATCAACAATTAAAAGTGGTAAAAATTTACATTACAATTAAATTCTTCAGTACTAAACATATCAGGATCTACTGAAGAAAGACTACTTTGTCTCTGATGTGAAGGTTGGTTACTTACCAGTCTGCATCTTCTCTTCCTGACCCCAGTCAGAAATTTTCTTGCCCAAATTGACCAGCACAGCATAGCGTTCCTCAGGCATTGAACTCAGTAGTGACTCCACTTCTCTTTTTCGTTCTTTGTCTCGCATCTTGTCATTTTTTAGGACACTTAAAACCTCATCAACAGCACCACAGAGCACATCACGAGGCTGTTGAAAAAAAATAGATTATTCAAATTGCATTAAATAATCAATAATATGGTTTTAATGATATCTAATAAACATGCAAACCATATTGCAATTGTTGAGATCAAGAAACCGATGTCCTCATTTATCTCATTTTTTGTGAATTGTACAGAGCACTACAATTAATATTGCTAGTAATGCTACATTCTTTTATAAATCATTTCATCCAGGAATAGAAAGCAATAGTGCAAACATGAATAGTATTTTTAATGCTGCAAAATAAAGACAAACATACTTAGTTTACCACATCAAATATTTTTTCAAAAGAACAGTCCATGTAGCAACTACAGGTTCCCAAATATAGACAAAACATTTCTTCTTAAGCTAATACATGAATACAACCATTTCTTCTTAACCAAGTCACTGAAGCATAAAATGGAAGTCAAATTCAGCATCTGCAACATGTGTTCCATAGACTAACTCGCAGCATCATAGTTTCAAATATTGTCCTGGTACCACGTATAGTTACCCAAATATACAATGAACAATTTAATTTCTTATTAATTTGATGCACATTGTATAAGGAAATATTATGGAGACCACTGAGGTGCATAAATGAATGTAGGTCAAATTCAGCATCTGCAACATGTGTAAAATAGAGCCACCCTATCTGCATCTTTGGTGCAAGAACCACAGTATTATCATGCAGCATTTTCTGTTACGTGATACCCAAATATCAACTTAACATTTGTTTATCTGCAAAGACGGACAGGTCCTTTTCGATAGTCCCTGCCAATTTTCTTCATCGGGGATAATAATGGTGCTTTCATAGTTTGTTGGAAATTATCTGAACTATCAAGTTTCTATTGGTAATTTGATCATCAGGGTTCTCCCCAGGCCTTTTGTTGTTTTTAAGGAAGAAGGGCCCAAATTAAAATGCTGTTTTACTCTTTGATCAAATTTATTGACAGCAATATTTAATACAGTTTTAGAGGAAATAAAAACACTGTACATTTTGTTAAAACATTTTCTCTAACCATATTAGGAACTGTGAGATGAAATTGTTCATGTAAGTGTTTCCCCCTATATAGTATTAACATCTTTTAATTCTTTCTTCTTTCAACTATTCTAAATGGAGATAAAACTGAGGGACACAAATGTAAAGATAAGAAACAAATATGATATCTATTATTCAATGTACAAAAATCATACACCTTTCTATTTATTTTTTTAAACACCATATTATATATTGCAGAAAATTCAGACATATAAAGGAACAATTATTTCTTTCTTTGGTTTTAAAGTTCATTAAAAGTCTGGTAAATATCTACATGACAATGACTACACCCCCTCCCCTAAATTTATTTAATAAGCTATTGTTGAGCGTGTCTGTCTTGAACGTTCCTTGAAAATGAAACATATCAGCTTAAAAAACATATTGAGAGAACCCTGATCATGAAAAAGAATTGTTTAATTTAATGAGATTATATATCATTTGTGGAAACAAATTAAATGTCTGAACTATTGAGTTGTACCACCATTAGAAATAAGGTTCTGAACTAACAAGGTTGTTTAGTTTACTGACCTGATCACCAATTGCTGCTTGAACAAAACTGAGAATGATTTCATATGTCTGTCTTGTCTCCTGTGTTTTAGGGCGATAAAGAATTCCCACCAACTCGTCGACTCCATCAGATAATAAGGTTGTTCCCTTCATTTTCATCATATCGTGCTGCGCCTCATCACGCTTGCGGCGCCTGACCAGAAAAAGATGTTGAGGAATTTTTTCATATAATATTTCAAGTGAGCTTTTCAAACATATTAGACACTTAATATATATGAACATGAATCAAAGATACAGATTAAAATAGGGTTATAATTTTTATTCTGAAATTAAACTAAAGTTGCATGCTACAGAAACTCATGGATATCACCCAATTAAACTTGACCTGCTGGCCTGTGCTAGGTAAGTACTTTGACATTAATACATTTTCATAAATTAAATACAAATGACTTTTCAGTAAGAATGTTTGAGAACTTCAACTATAGTTTCTAAGGGTTATGATAATATAACTCTTACCAAATGGAAAACAACCTGATTCCCCCATTGTTCTGTTAAACTTTAGAAAATATGATGTTACATTCAAAACACACTCAAAGGGTTTTGTAACCCTAGTAATTAAATCTTGGATTTCATAACCAGAGTTCTAAATTATTATTGCTGTAACTGCAGGACAATATTGTTATTGGGTTTTATTGTTAAGTATAATTCCATCACTGATTACAGCAGCATCTTCTCATAGATCTCGAGTCAAAAATGAGATTGTCCTTTTGCTTACTTGTTTTTTCTCTCCTCCATCTGTGGTGGTTTGTTACGCTGTGCCTTATCACCCATGCGTGTACCAGTAAGTCTGCCTGACAAAGGAAGTACTTCTCCTGTCGGTTCATCTCTGGCCCTCCTGTCGATCAGTGATCGATCTGCTTGCAATACAAGATTGGAGTTCTGGGGAAGAAAGTTATGGATGCAATTATTATCCATGTAGCACTTAATTTACCAAGAAATGGATTTTAAACATTTTTCTTGGTGTACAAGGACAGACAGAGCAATCCCATTTCTCTATCTCGCGTCAACTTTGTTGTGAGGATGATCCTGACAAGATATTTAAGGGATTTCTCCCTTCATTTTGAGGGAAATGAAATTATCCCATAGCTTTCAAGACCCAAAAGTTGAGTAATAATGATTGAAATTAAAATGGTTAAAATTGGTTGGAATTTCATGAATATACAGGATTCAACACTTGTCCTCTAGTGGATTACATCAAGACCTAGTGAATTAGGCCAAGTGAAAAAAAAAATTGTTTCTAAATTCTAATATTATTATAACCCGACTAACCCAGTAAAATTCTGTCAGTAATTTTTCTTTTTGTTTTCTAGACACTTTGAAAAAGCTCTGTAGCTTGTTTCTTTATTAATAATTAACATTAAATACATAAAAAAATTGTAAACAAGATTCCCACAAAAACAATCATTAATGGCCTGGTGTGTGAGGAAGCAAATTAATATTGCCTTTCGTCTTGGTCAGTCAGGTGTCTGATGGCAGACGAGGCTGTGCTGAGTGTCTAATTAACAGACTTGTTGGCTGTGGCCTTACTTTACCAAAACAAATTAAATCATGCATGCTTTTGCTGGAGAAGCCATTGGTATTAAAATTAGAGAAATGTAGGCATGCTGAGGGTGGGATTATCATTATAACCGTCGTGCAGGGGGAAAATAGTAACCGTTGAATACATTTTTAATGATTTACATGGAGTTTAAACTTGACAGAAAAGTGTAGCTCAGCATTCACCATTACAGCTACTATCAGTCAAAGCAGTCGTTTGCAATTTGAGGTCACCAGGTCCATGATAGTTGCAGATTTGTACAGTTTTAACATTAAATGCATAAAAATTGTAAACAAGATTCCCACAAAAACATTCATTAATGGTCTGGTGTGTGAGGAAGCGAATGTAAAAATAAAATATTGCTGGTGATCTGGTTTGCTTATGATATTGTTAATGAGCTGTGGAAAAATAATAGCAAGATGATCATGAATGACTAGCTAGTGTTCAAAATGAAACATTTGTTGCTGTAATAGCAAATTAAATTAGAAACATTTTTATCCTAACTCACTGACTCATTGGGTGTCAACTAACCATCTCTAAGGTGAAAACAAATACCCTACCTAGCTAGTGACCCTAAAATATTTAAACATGTAATTAGAAGCAAACTTTATTTTTCTATTTGACCTTATCCGTTACAATCTATGATAGATTTTGAAAAAAAAATGTCTAAAGTCTGCTTGAACTCACCAATTCTACTGCAAAAGGATTTTTTATGTCCCCTTCCGTCAATTGTTTTTGCCTGTTTCATGCAAGTTGCTGCGAATGTTGCCTTCAGGAAATTTGAATTTGTTAATGTTACACTGGCGTACAGTCTAGCAAGTAATCAGCAATCACGTGGACCACCAAGCAGTTATCACGTGGACTACCTAGCAGTATAATCATGTGGACCACCAAGCAGTAATCATGTGGACTACCAAGCAGTAATCACATGGACCACCAAGCAGTAATCACGTGGACCACCAAGCAGTAATCACGTCGACCACCAAGCAGTAATCATGAGGACCAACAAGCAGTAATCACGTGGACTACCAAGCAGTAATCATGGGGACCACCAAGCAGTAATCATGTGGACCACCAAGCAGTAATCATGTGGACCACCAAGCAGTAATCATGAGGACCAACAAGCAGCAATCACGTGGACTACCAAGCAGTAATCACGTGGACCACCAAGCAGTAATCATGAGGACGAACAAGCAGTAATCACGTGGACTACCAAGCAGTAATCACGTCGACCACCAAGCAGTAATCGCGTGGACCACCAAGCAGTAATCGCGTGGACCACCAAGCAGTAATCATGTGGACCACCAAGCAGTAATCACGTGGACAACCAAGCAGTAATCATGAGGACCAACAAGCAGTAATCACGTGGGGTACCAAGCAGTAATCACGTGCACCACCAAGCAGTAATCGCGTGGACCACCAAGCAGTAATCATGTGGACCACCAAGCAGTAATCATGTGGACTACCAAGCAGTAATCACGTGGACCACCAAGCAGTAATCACGTGGACCACCAAGCAGTAATCATGAGGACCAACAAGCAGTAATCACGTGGACTACCAAGCAGTAATCACGTGGACCACCAAGCAGTAATCGCGTGGACCACCAAGCAGTAATCATGTGGACCACCAAGCAGTAATCATGTGGACCACCAAGCAGTAATCATGTGGACTACCAAGCAGTAATCACGTGGACTACCAAGCAGTAATCATGTGGACCACCAAGCAGTAATCATGTGGACCACCAAGCAGTAATCATGTGGACCACCAGGCAAATGTTCACAAAAATAAGAAACCAAATAAATGAGAAAAGACTGTTAAGTCCAACTTTTGAAAACACGATGAAGACGAAATAGTAACTCTTACAGCCCAGATGCATCCCCCAATAAGATTTGAATCCTAGTTAATATTTCTGTGTCAGTGCATTATCTATGGTTCGTTTGCCTTAAGTTTTGTCGATCTCGGTCAATTCGCTGTACCCTACTCCAATAGTGTTAGAGGTTTAGATGGATGTCGATGTACGCAATCAACAGCACCTTGATTGAAGAAAACGATGTAGCATCCATAATGTATCTAGTTGGGACATCACGGAATTAGATTAGATTTATCGAGTGAGTGAAAAATGAATAAGCTGAAATATAGGTAAAAATGTTTCATCTAACAAACATGTAACACTCTTAAAATCGCTGTCGTCACATTTCGACGACAACCCCAGCGTTTTAAAGAGCAGTCCAGCTGACCATAAACAGGCGACCGGTCATAATTTTGGAGCCTGCGATGATGGTCGCTGTACCCTTACAAATTGCTCACGATATTTCCGTTAAATTGATTTCAAATAACTTTTTGTATCTGAATTGCATTGATTTGCTTTGTAAAAAGGATTTTCCCTGTAATTTATACTTTAAGATTTTATGTGTGAATGATCAGTTAGAATCTTTGCATGTCTACCAACTAATAATGAAAGTTCACCAGAAGATGCCCCCCCCCCCCCCCCCCCCCCCTTTTCCATTTTTAGCCCGGGGTCCGACATGAACTATAATCAATTAGGCTATAGAACATGCTTATCAACTTACAGCTTTGTATTCATATTGCAGGGATCTTGCCGCTGCGTCAGCCATGGTTTACTGTATGTCCTTGTCTTTCAATAGTGCAGTTTTCATTTGTTCAATAGCGGTTTGTCGATCGCATGGCGTTTTCCCTGCGTTGTAAATAGTAGGACCGCAGTGAATGAGCGAATCTACAAAATAAAATGCAATCGTTTAATAAATGGATTTTCAAGTCATTCAGAATGGACCGTTTTATTATAAGTTAATTATTTGAATAGTATATTTATTTTAACCCAAGACATTCGACGTTTGAAAAAAATATTAGGGCAATCCCTTTCGGAACTTATTTGTATTTTCCTTTATCATTAACAAACGTTCAAACAAAGGTGTACCGAATAAATGCAGACAATGTCATATTTATGAGCAAGTCAAGTCTGTTAACAGTAAAACAGCTGATCCTAACGCATGTCTGCAGCAGTCATAACGCACATTGTCTAAGCGAAGTGATACAACACTACACTACACTATACTACTTAATAACAGTTGAGGTAGGTAACAGTATTCTTTTTTTTAGCAGGAAACAAAATCGATTTACGTTAAGGCTCAGCTGTCATTTTGTAAATCATGGGTCGTGATCATATCCTATTTTTTTGTGTTCGTTCTCAAAAACCTTCGTAATTTGATTATTCAGACAGACCATCGATATCTGTGTCGTGCAGTAATAACATAGATACCAATATTGGTAATAACTAAAGAAAATTCAAAAATATGCACTCAAGTGACCTCAAATTTTGGCAGTGCTGTGTGCGACGCAATACTGTTTACATGTTTTTAGACAAAAGTATCCAAATAGATTGTTGGGTATAACCCAGAACAGCATGGCTAGTTCTAGATTCTTGATTTAAAAAACACATTTTTGAAAGGGCATGATCTTTTTAACACCTGCATCTGGCATCTGCAGCATGGAATAGAATTTCTGATTTTTGAATGTGTAAAAATTAAATATTTATCTAAAGTGGGAAAACTTATTTAATATGTATGTCTCCATATGTTTATCATTTTGTATGATTTAAACAGCTTATCTCTGTGTGAACATTTTCTACGTTTTAAATAACTCATTTGGGAAACCATATCTACAATATACTTTTGACCAGTGTTGGAAATGCGTGTCATATGTAATATATATCTGTCACTGGACATTAGCCTGACACCTTGTTCTGCTCATTAATTTCAATTGGGCCAATACAAGCTTTAAGCTCATTTCCTGGCCATCCGGATAAAGGCAAGTCAAGGTAAATCATTAATGAAATTGTAACATGCAAAAGATCACATATATATGTAATCACTGACCTTTGGGCATGCATGCCTGCTGCTGATGGCATTCCCTACAATGTAATGTGAATAAAGATCTGTGACACAGATTCATTCCAAAAGTTCAACATGTCACTAGAGTCCACTCCCTCACCAGGTGATAAGTGTACAAAACTACAAGCTGATGGGGTATTCAACCTTGCCTGTGTAAAAATGTATCTATGGTATGTTGCCTGGCCTTGTCAAACAACTTACAGGCTAAGGTTGCTCAAAGCTTTGTCATCTTACCTGGTGTATACATTTGAATAGTCTTGTCATGTCAGTCAAATATTTGTCATCTTACCTTATACCCAGTGAATATGTTTGTAAAGCCTTGTCAGCCAAAGCTTTGTCATCTTATCACTCTTTATATCTACATGGCCTGGCCTTGCCTATCTACTTACACAGCTGAAATACAAAGCTTTGTCATCTTACCTGGTGTATACATTTGAATAGTCTTGTCATGTTAGTCAAATATTTGTCATCTTACCTTATACCCAGTGAATATGTTTGTAAAGCCTTGTCAGCCAAAGCTTTGTCATCTTATCACTCTTTATATCTACATGGCCTGGCCTTGCCTATCTACTTACACAGCTGAGATACAAATATTTGTCAACTTAAATTCAATGACTTATTTTAAAACTATGTATTTTCGACTTTTCTGTCTACAGTTAAAATATTTGAATCCTTTACTAATACTCATGCAGATCAGTGAATTTAAATTTATCAAAAAGAAAACAAAATGTGGTACGAAATTTAAACTTTTTTTTTGCATTAAATTTAAGCTTTGAACAACTTTGAAATTGAATACAGTTCATGAGATCAATAATTATATAAGTAACTTTCAACAACTTGAAAGACAGAATTTGGTTTAATTTATTAGGTTGAACTAGTGTCCTATCAACCTCTGTGTATTTCATATATGCATGTGTGATGATCAAGACATCATGTAGGTGTATTTACCTCTTTGTAGTAGCGCAGGTCAGATGCCGACTTTAGGGTGCTACCTCACTGAAAAACCCAGCACAGTATTCCACCTGGTCATATTATACTGACAACTGGTTGTTGCCATAACATCAATTAGCGATAGCTTATATATCTACTGTGTTTCAAAGAAGAATTACCAGATAATTAACAAGTTAACAAATTTTTATTTTCCAGTATATTTGCCAAAGATTTTAAACTCATAATCAATACAAGCTGTAGGAAGATACAGGATGATTGGTTGATGACCAAAAACTTGAAAATATTTATGCGTTTCCTGACATTTTATACAATGTGTTAAGAAAAAGCAATTAAGCCCCTGCATGTGCCTCTTGTTTATGTTTCTAGTCTGACCTGATCAAAGACTGAGCCTGTAACATCCTGCCTGGTGAGCAGGTGCTAACAAAGAATATTTAGTTTGTTTAAGGTCAGAGTATGAGGGGTTGAGTTTCCCATACTTGCATTGTTACTGCAGCTGTCCATTAGGTACATACATGCATATCACCTAGATTTACTTTAAGCATTTTATATATCTAATAATTACCTAACAATATATTTGTGCAGGGCTCGAATGGAAAGTATCTTACTTGCAAAGAACATTCTAAACAGCCACTACCTTGAGGGATGTAAACTTGCCAATATCATGATCTTGAAGTTGAACAATTAAGTAGTCTTAAAGATGGTCATCCTTAATTTCAACCCCCTAAGATGTCATATTTAAAGACACTAATTAAACATCTGAATCCAGAGAATTCACCCCTGTAGTATCCCCATCCTTTTTTATGAAGTAATATTTGGATGTGTTGGTATTTTAAAAATATATTAAATACAAAATTAAAAATGATTTTCCCTTTGAATACCAAATACATTTCACGAGTGTTAGCTAGGCACAAGTGAAAAATGTTGGTTATTAATATTTGCCGTATAAATTTAGAAAAATTATGTAAACCCTGGTAAATATATATGTATATTAAATTTACCTATAGAATTGTTACTGTCATTGTAACCCAAGGCTTCTTGTATTACGTGCATCTTTGCACAAACCATTCTCATTTCAGATTGTGCAGTTATTTGTTATCTGTCTAGATAAAGGCTTTAAGTGCAGTCTAGATTACCTGATTGTGTCCCAGAATAAGTTTTGTAGCGGCACAATTGCCTCAGGTGTAGATGCTATTGAGAAAATAGTTTTGTAGTCAGTAAGAATGAACTATAAATTATATCACCTTTTCTGCAATGTCCATTCATAAAAGATTCATATATATTTGTCTTCAAATTGTAACTTGATCACCCAGGACTTTTATCTGTATTGTATATTGACTTTAGATGGAACCCTCCTGAAACCTTTCTGCCAACACTATTCTGTTATTGCCACTCCTGTCAGATGTCAAAGTACAATATATATATAGATACCAGATTGTTTTATGAAACTGGTATATCACGACAGGTTGTTACAGTTATATCAAAGGAAATAACAAATGATCTCACTGGAGAGGTTATCTCCTGCCGAACTAGCTGTGTATATGTATACACCATGGTATAGGTCTATATTTGGGAGGAGAGGCTACTAGAATATCTGATTATGTGTCTGTTATCTTGTAGACAACTATTCATCCAAGTTTTTATGAAACTTTACTGATGTTGTCATCATTTTCTAAAGCTGTGCACCTGTGCTTATGTTTTCATTCAGCTATTTCATGGGAGTTATGCCCCTTTACAGAATTACTTTTGCAAAGTTTTCTGCAGATGATTCAGACCCTCAGAATATATATGGTCGTGTCTTTTCAGTATATTTTTAATTTTCCATTGTGAAAATTATAAGTTTTCAATCTTAGAGGATATATTTTTTGTTTGAGCATGGTTTCACATCCTTGCAGCAGATTTATGAAAATGAATTCCTTGGGAGAAGCCACTGAAATGAGAAAGTAGTAAAGTGAGAAGAAATTTGATATTTTCAATGTCCACAAAGCAGAGGACACAGAAGACAGCCCCTGATTCTGCAGGTTCTCCCCATTAGTCGCCTCTTACAATAACGGGCAGTGGGACAGAGCTGGCCTATTCTTTCCCTGAGTCTGCGCGGCTTCATAGAGGATAAGAATACCTGACACCGTTTTGAAATTAACTTTACATGTACCAATGTATAAAAAAGAATTTCCTGTTGTAATACATTGTAGTTACCTTAACAATATCTAACATAGCAACAAAATCATAACGATGCAATAATTAAAACCAAGAAAGTGCATGTCACTTGCTTTAATAGAATGTTGATGGGGGTTTTATTGGAGGGAGGGGAGGGGCAAAATGATGTAACATGATTGTTTTTGTGCAGGAGATGTCAAAATAATGGGATCCAGGTGAAACAAAGATGTGATGATAGATCTATGTTGCTTTGTCACTAAATGTATGATACATGTATATGCACCTAGATGTACAACCTTAATATGTATCAAGGTTACTGTTTGATGCTTCAGGAGTAAACACTGGCAGACATAAGGCTGTAGGGTGGTGTTGATGACATTCCCTGGTTACCGTCATGTCTGTGGTATACAGAACCAGATTCTATACTAATTAGTCAGTGTTTATTGCGTTCAGTCTCCTCCCGTCCCTGTTCTTCCTCAAATGTCAAATGGTATTATGTAATCCCAGCCGAAGTACTTAGGAAGATATACACTGTCATCTTGTATTCAGGCCAAATAAACAATGTATGTTTCCTTCATGAACTAAAATGTTTCAATCTAGACAAGTACACATAGTCTCTTTGTTATTGAATGTGAAATGTGTGCTGATTGATGAAAACTTGATTGATGTATTATTGGTTGGGAAGATGAAATAAACACATATAATATACAGCAGTGTTCCCTGCATTTAACAGAGTCCTGTAACATGGAGAATGAAAACATAACTGGGCTTGGCCAGGATTTGAACTCTGCACTTCAGAACTTGAAACAGTAGCTCTAAACAACTGAGTCAGCACTCATAGGGGCTCTCTGTTTTGATGACTTCCATGGTACTTTAACTGTGCAAGATGATGTAATAAAACTTTATCATAGGCCGTTAATCAATTGCAACCAACCTAATTATCTGCCCCTGCCCTCAACCCTGGTAATTCTGAACAATATGTATTATAATAGTTATGTATACTTTGGTGTAAGGTTTATACTAAAGATGCTGGAAATAATTATATTTAACGGGGAAAAAAAGAAGTAAAATGACAGGAAACAGATACATGTTTGTTATATAAAACAAGGCGCAATAATGTCATTAATATGTTTGGGTGACGTCCATGACACACTTCGTTGTGTAAGATGATCACCTAGACAACAAGCCGTGGTATGTGTATCACATGTTACACTTCTAAACAGGTGCAGGTGTCAACAGGTGCAGGACTTGTTTACTACAGATAAACGATAAACCAAAGCATAACAGGGAAAGAAAAGTACATAGTCGCTTTATTGATTAAGGATCCCTGCTCCACTTCAGGCAAAACATTAGAGAGCTCCATCTTACAGTTATATAATTACCTCCCCTTAATTTTGTGTTTTGGATGTATACTGTAGTACTGGGAATAACGGTATGGAACTTCCTCTGATATGTTAGCTCAGCTAGTTATGACAACTGTATTGTGCTTGGAGGACCTGGGTTCAAATCCTTAGCTAGCCTTATTCATTATATTTTTACTTGCAGACCATAGTTATTGATTTTTTTTTATTTCATCTTCATTCTTGCTTATTTTTTCATAAAAGTTAAGTGAGATATGACTTATTTTTAAAAACGAATTATTAAAGATATTGTTTCTGGTTGATCACCCATTCACCCTTAAAAAAATACAATTTGTTTTACACTTTACCTAAGACATAAGCTTTACCATTAGTATTAGGACCTAGTTACTCTAAATGACCTAATAGCAGGTGTTTTACCAATGTAAGACTTTGATACTTTACCTAAAGACATGGTAGCTATACAAGTTTGTTTGTGTTTTATATCCTATTAACAACTAGGGTCATTTAAGAAAATGTCAGGTTTTGTTGGTTGAGGAAAGCCGAAGTTCCCGGAGAAAAACCCCGACCTCGAGCCAGTTTACCTGGTATGTAGGCCTCAAACCCACAACCAATTGGTGGAGGGCTAGTGATCCAGATGTTTAGACACCTTATATAATTAACCACTTGGCCACTGCGGCCCCTAGTTGACTTTGTTACGGAACCAAAAGACAGGATATCTTTCATAATAATTATTACAATCTGGAAGGACATAATCCAACCTTTACCTGTTAGTGTTGCCCTTGTACTTGTAGGTATTTTTTGTTTCTGGGGTTTTTGACTAGAAACATTTGTTAACAAACTGTTTTGTTTGTAAGGTGATGATTAACTTAGTATCACTTCACAGAAATGAAACACTTCGCAGGTGTATAATTAACACAGGTATGAGCTACGTATACAAGTACCATATAATACATTGTTCTATAGGGAATATTATTTCCCAATGTCCTTAGATAAATGTATTCATCATGTACATTCATAAGTGACTGTACTGTTATACAGTGTATAGATTGTAATCTTCTAGAACTTAAAAATTGTATGTATCAAAATGATAAATCTTCACTTTGGTTGGATATCACACAATTTTCTCCCACCCTTCACAGGCATGTCTCCCGTTTTAGCCGGGAAAGATCAGCTTGTCACCCCCTAGTGGGAGATAGCCTTGTGTAGATTAGCACGTGTTCAATTGTGACGTCATAAAATGTGTCACCGGTAATGGTGACATCATCAAAAGTGAATGACGATATGCATACCCCAGGGGACATGTGTTTTTGTTTACAAACATACCAGGCTACTGTCGTTGGAGTTGTGACTGAAATAATAGGATGGGAGAAAAATAATCATCCCCTTCCTTGAGGGTGTAACAGAGAAATCTCCAACCCTTGGGGTGATTTTTGTTGGTTGTCTAACCCAAAAACATCATTCCACGTGTAGGAGATTTCTCTGTCACACCCTCAAGGTAGGGGAAGATTCTGTTAATCATGCAGATTCAAAATTTGATGTCAATTTTTGTTTGATACATGTAATAAAGAACAATTGTAGAGATGTAATATTGGATATATTTCACTCATTAACTCATACATGCAATACTCAAGACACTTAATTGTCAGTTAACACATGTACATGTGTGTGGTATTGTCTGTTTAGCACCCCCATATTTTTACAATATTTTCAAACACCAAGGGTGCTATTTAGAATAAATACTGTATTTTAGCCCAGTTTAAAAACCTCCAAAAATAAAGTAAAGTTAATCGCAAGTATTATACCTCAATTGCTTTGCTTGCATCATTAAACCAATAAAATGTGACCTGTTCAGTCCCACTGGGGCACTATGCTCTAGTGACATCTCCCAGGGTAATCAAGACTTTAACTAAGTTATGTACTAGGTATATAAAATGTAGGGTAGTCAAGTTGTATCAAACGCCTGACTCTTGATCTGTCTCTATTGATCTATAAGTTCACTAACCTCCTACACGGTAAATTATAGTAGTATACTAAGTCTTAGCTTTTTATGCTGTCACCTATAGATAACCGAAAATAGTTTGGATGAACCATTTATTTGCTCAGGTCTACCTAGCTATTTAAATTGATACTAGCGGATGTATCTGGTATATGCCTTAGTCTGATTAAACTTTGATAAATGGAAATTGTGTCATTGACCTATCGGCCTTAAATGACCTTAAGGCATACTTTAAAAAAATAATCAAACTTCATTCTTGTTGAACTTTGAAACTTTGTTCCTTCGGATTTTCATACTTGTAACTTATATATATGTTTTAAAGTTTGTGGGGTAGTGGGGAAAATGTGTAATAATTAATTAAATTAAACTGGTATAATTGTATCCTAATTGATCATTCTAAAACAAATTATATACATATGTATAAAGTTATATATACACTGGACTTAAATCACAATAAAAGTTATATATACACTGAACTTAATTCACAATAAAAGTTATATATACACTGAACTAAATAATTCACAATAAAAGTTATATATACACTGAACTTAATTCACAGTAAAAGTTATATAATACACTGAACTTATTTCACAATAAAAGTTATATATACACTGAACTTAATTCACAGTAAAAGTTATATATACACTGAACTAAATAATTCACAATAAAAGTTATATATACACTGAACTTAATTCACAATAAAAGTTATATATACACTGAACTTAATTCACAGTAAAAGTTATATATACATTGGAATCACAATAAAAGTTATATATACACTGAACTTAATTCACAATAAAAGTTATATATACACTGAACTTAATTCACATGAAAGTTATATATACACTGAACTATATATACACTGAACTTAATTCACAATAAAAGTTATATATACACTGAACTATACATACATTGAACTTAATTCACAATAAAAGTTATATATACACTGAACTTAATTCACAATAAAAGTTATATATACACTGAACTTAATTCACAATAAAAGTTATATATACACTGAACTTAATTCACAATAAAAGTTATATATACACTGAACTTAATTCACAATAAAAGTTATATATACACTGAACTTAATTCACAATAAAAGTTATATATACACTGAACTTAATTCACAATAAAAGTTATATATACACTGAACTTAATTCACAATAAAAGTTATATATACACTGAACTTAATTCACAATAAAAGTTATATATACACTGAACTTAATTCACAATAAAAGTTATATATACACTGAACTTAATTCACAATAAAAGTTATATATACACTGAACTTAATTCACAATAAAAGTTATATATACACTGAACTTAATTCACAATAAAAGTTATATATACACTGAACTTAATTCACAATAAAAGTTATATATACACTGAACTTAATTCACAATAAAAGTTATATATACACTGAACTTAATTCACAATAAAAGTTATATATACACTGAACTTAATTCACAATAAAAGTTATATAATACACTGAACTATATATACATTGAACTTAATTCACAATAAAAGTTATAGGCCTATAATACACTGAACTTAATTCACAATAAAGGGCTCCAACTCACAACACGTTTACAATGTATATTACAATATGGGTAGTTATAAGATGTGTTTGATGTACACAGAATTTATGCATCAGTTCTAAGGATTGATCAAACAAGCAAAATATTTTATTTGATGCTGGTTTAGAATATTTACAGGAACACAAAATCTATATAGATGTTTGTGCTATTTATAGAAATACGGGAATGTTCAAAATATTTTCTACATTCATCACAAAGTGGCGGTTGCGATCATGTGTGTATCTACACTGTAGCTAAGACGTCCATGAGTGTAGGTTTGTTCTGTAAAGCTACACATGTTTTACAAAGTGTGGATTCATGTGTACCATTTACATGTAAAGTAAATATAAACAGAGTAAGTGTTAAGAACGGAAACCTAATCTATCATGATCAGCTGGTGTGTCTAAGCTTATATACTGGGGCAGGTGGGCTGACGATACAGGTGAGCTGACGAAACATTTTAATTCACTGAGCGGTATTTCTTTGTACACAGAGGGAGTGTCATCCAAAAAGGATTGGCTTTATTTTCTTACTGACCCGGCTAGTGTACTAGTCACAGGAGAAGTTCAATTTGAATTTGGATTTATTTTTCACCAAATTAAGGAAGGTATGTAGCTAGGCTAGTCATTTTCACCTAGCATAATGTAATCATATTTGTTTAAAAATTGCTTTATATTGTTGTAGGTGTACTTTTGAAATGATGCATATTTGTGAATTGGGGGATTAATATTTCAGAATATTTGTTATTTTTTGCAGTCTTTAGTGGTTATCATTTAGTACCACATAAATTATATACCACAACTTACAATAATATACCATCACATTCAATTTGGATTATAAATAACATTATGCAAGACGATACATTAAAGTTTGAATTTGGGTAAAGTCTACTTCATTGTACAGGATTACTAAATACAAGTACACTGTATATATATATGAGGTATGTACCCCGATATATATCTGTAGGTATGCCAGAGTGTCACGGCCCAGAACAATAACAGTGAACACTTCATTAACTATGTATATCGTTTACCAATATAGTAATAGGATGTGGACATATGGTGGTCATAGACAATTGAGAATGCCTTATTGATTTTGGTTGTGTAGATATACTTGTATGCTTATAAAGTCCCCTCTGCTACTAACAATTGGGACTAAAGGTTTGTAATCAGCCGTCTGCAGTCGGTTGATTCATCACTTTCACTGAGGCATATCTCATATATCCTGTAATTTGCAATTACCACTGTGCATGTGAGTATTTTTTGGATGGAGGAGTGCTGCTTACTGAAATAGGGCATAACTCTACACTGTATGTATAGTGTTCAAAAGTGGGAGACTTGTGGATTGGTGAAATACTTTGCCTTGTTAATAGATGAGATGAACTACAGTATAATCTGGAAAACTTAATGTATATCCATATCTCTAAAACTTGATCTTACAAAAGTACTGTAGTCGTTCTATTGGTGTTTGGTTATATAATTATGACAGACCAACATTTGGATAATCATGGTGAAGTGCTTGCTAGATCTGTCGAGAATTTGTATAATAATTTCTATGTTTTTGTGTATTTTCAGGTGATTTGTTAACCACTGAAATCTAAATCTACTGATATATATACACCATGTTGACTCCGGAGACCACGCCGTCGTCACCGACCAAGAGAGATCACTCTGGAAATTTTGTTGCTATGAATGGTTCTTCTACACATATTGATGGAGGAAACAGCAAAATGCATGTGTACAAACGACAGCCCTCACACAGGTAATTCAAACTATATTACCAATGACACTCTTCACACATTTTTCCAACACTTAAGTGTACAAACGACAGCCCTCATACAGGTAATTCAAGCTATACTACAAACAACAGCTCTTACACAGGTCATTCAAAACTATAGTGTACAAACAATACCCCTCACACAGGTAATTCAAAACTCTAGTTTATAAACAACTGCCCTCACACAGGTAAATCAAAACTCTAGTGTACAAACAACTGCCCTCACACAGGTAAATCAAAACTCAAGTGTGCAAACAACTGCCCTCACACAGGTAAATCAAAACTCTAGTTAATAAATAACTGCATGCCCCTCACACAGGTAAATCAAAACCCTTGTGTGCAAACAACTGCCCTCACATAGGTAAATAAAAACTCAAGTGTGCAAACAACTGCCCTCACACAGGTAATCAAAACGCTCATGAACAAACAACTGCCATCACACAGGTAAATCAAAACTCAAGTGTACAAACAATACCCCTCACCCAGGTAAATAAAAACTCTAGTGTACAAACAATACCCCTCACACAAGTAAATCAAAAATCTAGTTTATAAACAACTGCCCTCACTCAGGTAAATCAAAACTCTAGTGTACAAACAATACCCCTCACCCAGGTAAATCAAAACTCTAGTGTACAAACAATACCCCTCACACAAGTAAATCAAAACTCTAGTTTATAAACAACTGCCCTCACACAGGTAAATCAAAACTCTAGTGTACAAACAACTGCTCTCACACAGGTAAATCAAAATCAAGTGTGCAAACAACTGCCCTCACACAGGTAAATCAAAACTCTAGTGTACAAACGACAGCTCTCACACAGGTAATTCAAGCTATACTACAAACAACAGCTCTTACACAGGTCATTCAAAACTATAGTGTACAAACAATACCCCTCACACAGGTAATTCAAAAGTCTAGTTTATAAACAACTGCCCTCACACAGGTAAATCAAAACTCTAGTGTACAAACAACTGCCCTCACACAGGTAAATCAAAACTCAAGTGTACAAACAACTGCCCTCACACAGGTAAATCAAAACTCAAGTTTGCAAACAACTGCAATCACACTGGTTAATCAAAACTCTAGTTTATAAATAACTGCATGCCCTCACACAGGTAAATCAAAACCCTTGTGTGCAAACAACTGCCCTCACACAGGTAAATCAAAACTCAAGTGTACAAACAATAGCCCTCACACAGTTAGTTCAAAACTCAAGTGTAAAAACAATACCCCTCACACAGGTAACTCAAAACTCTAGTGTACAAGCAACTGCCATCACACAGGTAAATCAAAACTCTCATGTACAAACAACTGCCCTCACACAGGTAAATCAAAACTCTAGTTTATAAATAACTGCATGCCCTTACACAGGTAAATCAAAACTCTAGTTTATAAATAACTGCCCTCACACAGGTAAATCAAAACTCTCATGTACAAACAATTGCCCTAACAAAGGTAATTCAAAACTCCAGTGTGCAATCAATACCCCTCACACAAGTAAATCAAAACTCTAGTGTACAAACAATACCCTTCACACAGGGGTAACTCAAAACTCTAGTGTACAAACAATACCCCTCATACAAGTAAATCAAAACTCTAGTGTACAAACAATACCCCTCACACAGGTAACTCAAAACTCTAGTGTACAAGCAACTGGCCTCACACAGGTAAATCAAAACTCTTGTGTACAAACAACAGCTCGCACGGCACTCACACGGGTTATTGAAACAGTAAATTGATTGTAGTACACATTCTGGAAAAATATGTCTGGTATTTCATATCATTATGTATATTTATTTTTTTCACTCAAATTATGAAAACATAACACATCATCAATTCAGCCATTATGTATAAAACTGTATATTAACAACCGACACACAAATCAGCATATTTATAAAAACAATCGTCCTCTCATATGTGTAAAATAACACAGGTAACTCCTTATAAGGGAGGCATTTTACAGGTAAGACACAAGGGCTCAGTCAGGTAACCTATTTTAAAGGTAAGAGAAGGGGGCTCAGTCAATTGGCTCAACCAATTGGCCGTCAAATAATGTAGATTTGGCTGTCAAGCCTTTACAAAAGGATGATTGTTTTTGTAACATCTAATCTGATGATCATGATGTATGGTGATTTTTTTCCTGTAAACTATGATATACATGTAAACGATGGTTCATTTCTTGATTGATGGATGAAATGTTGTGTAATAAATTCAGGGTGTTTCATCGTTATATCCTCGATTTTGACAGGTATTGCCCATGGTGACTCGATTTTGACAGGTATTGCCCATGGTGACTCGATTTGTCCCCTGAAACATAGAATGTAGAATTCATCATCTTTTTGATGACAGAACAAGTAGACCTATTTTGTACCTTACTCATGTGTATACAATACATGTATGATATTGAAATTAGTCTGTGATGTTACATGATAATAAAGAATCTCAGGAATGACAATGTTTTTGTTGGACAGGATATTTGTAAACCGAGCCTTACATTTGGAGAAGATCTCTGTGTATGGATTTGACATGGATTACACTCTAGCAGGTCAGTATTTACAGGTTAATTTTCTCATGTCTGTTATCTTATAATCCAAAAAGATAATTTCCTTTTCCAGTTTTCATTTTTCATTTCACTTATAGAACGTGACAGGACATGGACAAGTTATACTTTAACTGACTGATTTGTTCTGTTGACAGTCCGCCTAGCCATCTGAAACATGTAAACTAATAAACCTTACATTTATGGAATTCTTGGTGTTGACGCTCCTTTACTTACCTACTTGTATTCACTGATTATAAAGTAAATAAAAAGCTAGCTATAGGCTATTTGTAGTTAGATGTTGTTCAATTTAGTTTAGTTCATTTTTTAATGATATTTTTTAAAGCAAAATACTCTTCTTTTGTCTAGTGTACAAATCATCAGAATATGAAGCCATGGGATTTAATATGTTGAAAGAGAGGCTGGTAACTATTGGATACCCAGAGGCAATTAAAGAGTTTGTATATGATCCTACATTTGCATGCAGGTAACTATCAAACCTATTTTTTTCTGATTACCCGGGGTATATGTCTTTGTATTATTTTAATCTTACCATCATTGCATGCATATCCTTTAAAGAATTCGGTATAATTTGTATCCAAAACACGTTAACTCGTCTTTAAATTAGCGAGTAGATTATTTACAATACACATGGTCGAATTGAAAACACTTTGATGATTTTGTGCATCCCTCCTTCTAAATATTTCGTGAATTTTAATGTTAATTCCTGGCGTTTCTGTTCCAGAGGATTGTGGTTTGACAAACAGTATGGAAACCTGTTAAAGGTGGATGCTTATGGTAACATTTTAGTCTGTGTTCATGGGTTCAAGTTTTTAAAAGGGTAAGTTCAATCAATATTGTTCATATATATAGCTGGCTATCATTTCTGTCCTTATCTAAATACATAATGCTTATTTCCTGTAGTTTTTTTCTTAGTACTTTTGTTTTCAAACTTGTCTTTTCAATATTTTATAAACAATTGTAGTCATTGTTACCTGGTATTAACTGTGAAACTAAGGTAACACAGTACATTTCAGTTTAGAAATTGTAGTCCTAGATAATATTATTTTGAGATTGTTTAATTTAGGAAATGAACATATAAACTTCAGTCGTGAACTTCAAGTAATAGAAAAAAGTTTCAGATTATTGTTGAGACTGTCACAAGAAAGGAAACGAGATCTAAAAAATGTTAAAAGAGTTTAGCTTTGATTAACCCTTTCACCACTGTAGACCATAATGGACTCGTCCAGATCAATGTATAGAAGAGTCTACCAAATTAAAGTTACCTAGGGGTGAAAGGGTTAACATAGTTCTGCAATAATTGAAGGTTTGTTAATATTTCTGTATTTTAATTTAGACATGAAGTGTCAAAGCTTTACCCAAACAAGTTCATACAGCTGGATGAAAACAGGATTTATGTATTAAATACTCTCTTTAACCTGCCAGGTAGGTCATCTCAATTTATAATGTAGCATGCATCTTTTAAAAATTTGATATTGGAATATTAATGTGCAAAAAACATGGAGAATTCTTCAGTCTGTAACGTTATTCTAAGTTTTTTGTAACAAATTTGGTTATTCAAAGATTTGATTAATAAAATTGTATTGGTTTACTTAAACAGCACATTGAAATAAATGAAATATCAGTAAAAAAAGTTGAACTATTTAATACTTAATACAAATATCTAAAATAAACTTTTCGTTTTACCACAGAGACCTATATGATTGCTTGTGTCATTAACTATTTCAACTCCAGCAAGGATTACGTAAGGTGAGCATCCAAATGTTTCTGTTGCTTTGATAATTCAATATTTACTGTTCACTGTACCTCTTAATTAAGGAAACAGAGCTAAGCATACCAACACACTGACACACTGTATCATATATAACACACATCTTAGTACTATACATACATCGTATTACAAGACCAACACATCCCTGCTAGTACTATGTAGGCAGCCTCTCAGTCAAGAAACCCTGTCCTGCACATAATCTTCTAGCTTTCAGGTGAATACTGAGTCATGGTAAGCCAATGGTTGTAAGGTTTAACCCTCCTGGATATCTAGAAGTTCTAAATAGTATTAGGTCTCTTAAGGTCTCATTTTGTTTGATGGCATTCATGGCCATATAATTATAATTGTTTAATCATACTTTTTAACTTATCATGTAAAAGCTGTTACCATTATTGGCTAAAAACTATAAGAAAGTTATCATCAATATTGTATCAAGTTTTACAGGTTTTCACTAATAAATATGTACATTTTGGTTGATATTTTATATATGATTAAGTACAACTATAGATATGTCAACACACGTATATAGGTATGTGACTTTTATAACACAATTATTTTTTGTTATTAAAAGTCTTTTAACATTTTGTGCAATAATTCTTCAATAATTGGTGATGTAGAATTGTTTTATGTATTATCACATCTATACCTGAAGGAGGATTGTGATGACTGTTTCGGTTATCCTCATCCTTCCCATCCTGCACACCCACCAATTACACACGCTACGATATCCTGCACACACGCACATGTCATATTTCAAAGGCATGTCAAGTTACCTGCTAAATTCAGTACTGTATACACATTTTTTTAATCAAATACTGAAACAATTTTTCAAAAACACACATTCCACTATACATATACAGTCATACAATTTATCTCAAAGTTTCCGAAATTGTATAAAAAAAACTTTGAAATAATCAAAGTATTGAAGAAGGCATTCAAAGACCTAGTAAGGACAGAACAATTGCTGTAGTCCAAAACTTGTTTGACTGTATAGCATATTTTGTTGGGGGCTCTTTCTTAGGTGTGTAAAGAGGAAAAGGGAAACTACATTGAAGAAATCAATGCATTGAATAAAAACTGTTAGTTTAAACATCACTTGATGCTGGCATTTCCTCTATATACACAAATGAAAGAACCTGTTTTTCCCGAATCCTGTCTTAAAAGGAGGTTAACAGATAATCAAACGTTGGATTGTCATAATATATATTTGCATCATAGAACGCGATGTATTTGGCAGGTCGGACTTTCCCTTGGCAACGATGCCTCACTGCCTGGGGGCACAGCCAAATGCCAAATAAGGGTGCACGTGACTGCCCTCATTAGTAAGTGGTCAGGTAAGGTGTGCAGGTGTCGAGGCCGACCTTTGACCCTGAACAATAACACCCTACCCTTGTTACCTCACAAGGGGGTAATCACAGATAGAAATTATTCCCAACCTGTCAAGTGATTATGATTGTTCATCTTTGCAGAAAAAAGTTTCAGAAACTTAATACAATACTATAAAACTTCATATCATGTATATCAAATAAAAGAAAAATACTGTATTTAAATCAGGTCTGAAATTGTATACATCAGAAAGTCTTGATTTATTAACCTATAAGTTTATTCATTTGACTTATACTTATTACTGTCTTATAACTAAGTGAAGTTTTCAGTCAGCAATGTTTTTTGATGTATTTACTGAAAACAACAGACTTAGTGTTAATTAAGTTTTTATCTGTGGTGCTTGCCCTGTGAAGGTGATACATGTACTTATATATACACACACTGGAACTCCTGATCTTTGATCTAACTGGACAAAACTAGATCCTATGTGTGCCAAAACAGCATGAGCCTGTTGTTCAATATTTTTGCATTTTATTGTTGCATGTAACATGATAGAGATTTAATCTGACCAAACCACCACGGTCACAATGAATGTTTGTGAAAATTGTGGGAAACTATAAATCGTACTGCTACATGTATATGTCTGTTGTTTTTAAAATTAGCCAATAGATGGCAACAAAACTCTTTCAAAAATGATGATTAGAACCAAATTAGAAACAGCCTAAAGTACTTTTTATCAAAATCATTCTATGCATTAAAAAATAATATGGGCATATTTGTATTATTAGCTCACCTGGTCCAAAGGACCAAGGTGAGCTTATGCCATACCCCGGCGTCCGTCCGTCCGTCGTCCATACGTCAACAATCAATTTAAACGACTTCTTCTTCTTAACCACTGATTGGAATTCAACTAAATTTGACCGGAAGCATCCTTAGGTAGTGGGGATTCAAAATTGTACAAATGGTTTGGCTGACACCCAAGGGGGCTCAGGGGCGGAGCCAAAAGGGGTCAATTTTGCTATATTGATTTAAGCGACTTCTCCTCTGGAACTAATTAGAGGTGGATATCAACCATATTTGACTGTAAGCATCCCTAGGTAGTTGAGATTCAAAATTGTACAAATGGTGGGGCTGACCCCCTAGGGGGCTGAGGGGCAAGGCCAAAAAGGGTTATTTGGCTAAACTGCTTAAAACGACTTCTTCTGTAGAACTATGCCATGGATATCGATCATATTTGGTGGGAAGCATTCATGGGAGACAGGGATTCAAAATGTACAAATGGTGTGGCTAACCACAAGGGGCTCAGGGGCGGGGCCAAAAGGTGTTATTTGGCTATACTCTGCTTTAAGCGACTTCTTCTCTGGAACTAAGCGATGGATATCAACCATATTTGACTGGAAGCATCCCTAGGTAGTGGGGATTCAAAATTGTACAAATGGAGGGGCTAACCCCCCAGGGGGCTTAGGGGCGGGGCCACAAGGGGTGATTTGGCTATATTTCTACAAACGACTTCTTCTGTAGAACTATGCACTGGATATCAATCATATTTGATCAAAAGCATTCATGGGATGCAGGGATTCAAAATTGTACAAATGGTATTGCTGCTCCCTAAGGAGGCTGAGAGGTGGGGCACAAAAGGTGTCAATTTTGCTATATTGCTTTAAGCGACTTCTTATCTGGAACTAAGAGATGGATATCAACCATATTTGACAGGAAGCATCCCTAGGTAGTGGAGATTCAAAATTGTACAAATGATGGGGCTGACCCCCCTGGCTAAGGGGTGGGGCCAAAAAAGGTTTATTACTTGGAAATGGTTGAAATCCCCACTGTATAACCATATATACAATTGCTGGGTATAAAGAGAAGAATGCACATCTTTTTCCAGGATGTCCCTAGAGTCTGGCCCCACCCTATCAGACATAGTCCGCCGGTCATAACTTCGAAACGGTTGAGATCCCCACCACAAAACGATATATACAAATGCTGGGCATAAAGAGACGAATGTAGTCATGATATAAGAATGGACCCTGGGGTCTGACCAAACCCCTAGGGAACTAGTTTCTTCGTCACAACTTGGAAACAGTTGAGATCCCCATCCTATAACCGTATAAACAATTGCTGAGTATAAAGAGATGACTGCACATATGCTTCCAGGATGGCCTTGGGGTCTGCCCCATCCTTGGAAACTTAACCCCTGGGTCATAACTTTGAAATGGTTAAGATCCCCACTCCAAAACTATGCATTCAATTGTTGGGAATAAAGAGACGAATGCAGTCATGATATTAGAATTGACCCTAGGGTTTGCCCCACCCTTGCAGACTTAATCCTTGGGTGATAACTTCGAAACAGTTGAGATGCCCAACCCAAAACTATAAATACAAATGCTGGGCATGAAAAATCTAATACAGATATGCTACAAGGATTGGCCTTGAGGTCTGGCATATTCCCTTGCCCTTGGATCTCATTTGGAGAATATTTTGCAATGCTTTCTTAGATATCCAGGTGAGCGATACAGGCCCTTTGGGCCTCTTGTTTTTCTTCAAGTTCTAGCCAATTGAAAGTCCCCAAAATAATGTTGAATGAGAACTTATCATAATGACCATGTAATATGTATGCACACATCAATCCATCCCTCTAACATACATAAGGTGAAGGGTATATTTCGACTGTATATATATATATACAGGATCAACTATTCAACGTTCTCTTCTGTAAGAGTTGCCTCCCTTCCCAGTACGGAAACTAGTATATGAGTGTTAGCTTCTTGTTAACAGAATGGGAGCTGTGATTGTACAAAACAATATATATTATAATGACACAAAATATAAAAAATATCTGTTGCTTGATTATAAATATGAAAACAACAGGAGGAAGTCATCTGTATTTTTTTTGTGCCTTGTCAATATAAGGTACTGAATATTTATTATTAATTTCTTAAAACATTGACTCATTTATAAATTATCCAAATTTATCTAAGAAGATTTAGGCACTTTTACTTAAAATTCAGCTGATATCCGCGATAAAAATTGTCGAACAATATCACTACATCATAGTTGATGCTGACATTACAGTGAAAACATGTCATGACCCAATACATCGAAAAGTAGGACTTTCAGTAATTTATAACCAGAAAGTAAAGAAAGGATTAAATGTAGCTAATAACCTATCTTAAGAGTACTTGAATGTATGACTTTGTATTAAAGGAAATTAGCATTCACTCATACATAGTCAGATTTGTTCATGATTTGGATTTACTTGCAAGATTCAATGATATTCAGTATATGCTGTGAACTTTTGATTCAATAATATGCAACCATTTCTGAAGTCACTGAATGAGTGTCATTGTTATTCTTACTTTACAGGACGCAAACTGGGGTAAAGTGCAATGACCTGTTTATGTCATACCAATCAATATTTCAAGATCTGCGAGCTTCTGTAGACTGGGTCCATGATCAAGTGAGTGTTTTGTAAATAAGTTTTTTTGTAGCTGTACAAAATTAAATCTGTTTAGAAAGAAGACTACCCAATTAATTGTCATAGAGATTGTAATATCACTGTGCTTATCAGACCATCAGTTCTACAAGTTCAGTTATAATGGATTTCAAAATTTTAATTCATTCATATTTTTTTGTAAATTTGTAAATTTTAACTATAAATTTAATAAATTGATATAACACCTGATTCAAAAGATTATGTTCAAGGCCCAAGTTTTTAAATGCTCAATGTACATATCAAACATGTCGCAACATTTCAAGACTGTAGTGTCCCTCTGTCAAGCTATGACTGAGTGAACAGTAGGTCGTGAAATGTTTTGACACATTTAATGTGTATAAAAAATAGTTTGATGTTACATTTTTCCAAACTGCTGAATCTTACTAATGACTGCAATATTCATAATCCTCGGGTTTTAGGGTAACTTGAAGAAAGACACAGTAGAGAACCCGGAAAAGTTTGTACATAAAGACAGAAGGCTTCCACTCTTACTCAACAGGTAATTTGTGTATGAAAAAAATACATTATGTATTTTTGATTCCCCGATCGGACGTGAAAAGGTATGGGGTCACTTGCCCGACCATGTGGGTTTTCCCCGGGTATTCCGGTTTCCTCCCACAGTAAGACGTCACCCCTGCACGCTAAAATCCGGCCCAACAAGAGTGATTTATATAAGATGAAATAACTTGTGTCATAATTGTTGTAAAATAAATAAAGTTTGTATTTTTATACATAATGTCTTGAATATGTATACCACTGCAGCTATTTTGTATTTTTTGTGATGTTTTTTACTTTCATTGAGATCATTTAGGTATTGGGTCACCTGCCCAACCACGTAGGTTTTCTCTGGGTACTCAAGGCCAAAAAGAGGGATTAATATTGAAACAATTTGTTGCATAACTGTTGTAAAATGCAACAAAAAATATAATTATATCTATTAATGTTTCAGAAAAGTGGTGGCAATTTCTTTTTCATATATTCATGATTAATATTTTGTTTAAAGAAGCAGTCTTGCCATTGTGGACTTAGATAATCAGTTCCATGATGTCATAGCTTCATGTGTTGTAGTGGACATGGTTATTGTCATATCATCCCTGGAATTATAGCATTCCATGTATGTGTATAAACATAAATGATAAGGTGTTGTGTTACAGAATGAGAGAGTATGGTGCCAAGACTATGATCATCACAAACAGTGACTACACCTACAGCAATGTAAGTACAGGTATATCAACATCTCCTCATACTGTGGTAGGCTGTCTAGTGACAACATCTCCTCACACTGTGGAAGGCTGTCTAGTGACAACATCTCATCATACTGTGGTAGGCTATCTAGTGACAACATCTCCTCATACTGTGGTAGGCAGTCTAGTGACAACATCTCCTCATACTGTGGTAGGCAGTCTAGTGACAACATCTCCTCATACTGTGGTAGGCTATCTAATGACAACATCTCCTCATACTGTGGTAGGCTGTCTAGGGACAACATTTCATCATATTGTGGTAGGCTGTCTAGTGACAACATCTCCTCACACTGTGGTAGGCTGTCTAGTTACTACATCTCATCATACTGTGGTAGGCTGTCTAGTGACAACATCTACTCACACTGTGGTAGGCTGTCTAGTGACAACATCTCATCAGACTGTGGTAGGCTGTCTAATGACAACATCTCCTCATACTGTGGTAGGCTTTCTAGTGACAACATCTCCTCATACTGTGGTAGGCTATCTAATGACAACATCTCCTCATACTGTGGTAGGCTGTCTAATGACAACATCTCCTCATACTGTGGTAGGCTTTCTAGTGACAACATCTCCTCATACTGTGGTAGGCTTTCTAGTGACAACATCTCCTCATACTGTGGTAGGCAGTCTAGTGACAACATCTCCTCATACTGTGGTAGGCTATCTAGTGACAACATCTCCTCATCCTGTGGTAGGCTTTCTAGTGACAACATCTCCTCATACTGTGGTAGGCTTTCTAGTGACAACATCTCCTCATACTAGGCTGTCTAGTGACAACATCTGCTCATACTGTGGTAGGCTGTCTAGTGACAACATCTCTTCACACTGTGGTAGGCTGTCTAGTGACAACATCTCATACTGTGGCAGGCTGTCTAGTGACAACATCTCCTCATACTGTGGGAGGCTGTCTAGTGACAACATCTCATCATACTGTGGTAGGCTATCTGGTGACAACATCTCCTCATACTGTGGTAGGCTGTCTATTGACAACATCTCATCATACTGTGGTAGGCTGTCTGTTGACAACATCTCCTCATACTGTGGTAGGCTGTCTAATGACAACATCTCTTCACACTGTGGTAGGCTGTCTAGTGACAACATCTCCTCACCCTGTGGTAGGCTGTCTAGTGACAACATCTCATCATACTTTGGTAGGCTGTCTATTGACAACATCTCATCATACTGTGGTAGGCTGTCTAATGACAACATCTCCTCATACTGTGGTAGGCTTTCTAGTGACAACATCTCCTCATACTAGGCTGTCTAGTGACAACATCTGCTCATACTGTGGTAGGCTGTCTAGTGACAACATCTCTTCTCACTGTGGTAGGCTGTCTAGTGACAACATCTCATACTGTGGCAGGCTGTCTAGTGACAACATCTCCTCATACTGTGGGAGGCTGTCTAGTGACAACATCTCCTCATACTGTGGGAGGCTGTCTAGTGACAACATCTCCTCATACTGTGGGAGGCTGTCTAGTGACAACATCTCCTCATACTGTGGGAGGCTGTCTAGTGACAACATCTCCTCATACTGTGGTAGGCTGTCTAGTGATAACATCTCCTCATACTGCGATAGGCTGTCTAGTGACAACATCTCCTCATACTGTGGTAGGCTGTCTAGTGACAACATCTCTTCACACTGTGGTAGGCTGTCTAGTGACAACATCTCATACTGTGGTAGGCTGTCTAGTGACAACATCTCCTCATACTGTGGTAGGCTGTCTAGTGACAACATCTCCTCATACTGTGGAAGGCTGTCTAGTGACAACATCTCCTCATACTGTGGTAGGCTGTCTAGTCACTGGTTGTGGTGACATAATTAGCTAGGACAAGTTTCCTTTAGCTCCATTGGCAGAGCAGTTGAAAAGTAATAGATCGGTAGTTTCTGGCTTCCTAGTGGAGACTCTCTGGAAAAGTTATGTTAATATAAAGATACGTCAATATCAACCACTAGAGAGAGTCCCAGTCTCATGGAAAAGTTACGTCAATATCTTCGACTAGAGGGCACCCTAGTCTTAAATCACCACTGTCTTATAATTAAAAATGTAATTAGAAGTGACTAATGGATTGTTGTACAACAAAGAACAACTGATACTGGGGCATCCTCATGTGCACAACAATTGAACAGATGTAGGTGGTTCACCTTGATTCATTCCTACAACACCTGACCTAGTTAATCACACTCTGAATAATTTGGCAACCGATTGATAGAAAGTTTGTATACAGCCTTAATTCAAGACATGTAAAACTAACACTACATCTTCAGGAAAGAAAAAAATTATCCTTGAAATATTCAGATAAAGGTTTTAAAATGTTGCTTAAGACGTAAAATGGGCTTAGTTTGCTTGTATCTTTTTATGTTTTCTCATTATAGAGATTAAAATGATTTCTTCTTTTCCAGAAAATCATGGAGTACCTCCTAGACTTCCCAGATGTAAGTACAATGTGTTAAACATGGTTTTAATTGATCCAATCCCACTCATTACCAACCAACTAATAATTCTCAAAATCAGCAATATTTATGTGTAAAAGATCAATGTAATCGGTTCAAATAATTCAATTCCAAAGACGTCATACTGAGTAATGGTACATGGAATCAACATATAATGAGTAGAAAATATAGAATAAAAATAACACACATGTATAAAATGCTTTGTGATGAATTTACTATGTAAGAAAATCGAGCATTGTAATTACAGTACCACTGTTTCCATTCTAGGGCCTACTTTACCAATGTATTATCTGTGAGTTATGTCCCTTAGAACAGAGCTCCCTTGATTCCTAAACATTTTGTTATGGATTGGCTTTGATCAATATTACTCTATTTTAGATTGACTTTTAGTAGTTTTGCTTTGAGATATTCATCAGTTTATGATTTCATTCACCATTGACAGCTTCCTAAGAGAGATTGGACCTCATACTTTGACATAGTGGTTGTGAGTGCAAAGAAACCGCTGTTTTTCAAAGAAGGAACCATCATGAGGAAAGTGGACAGAGTATGTAATCCCGTTTTATAAGTGGATGTTTCTTGCCATAAAATCTCATCAAATATGATACACCTTAAAAAACTAGGATTTTAGATGTAAATATTAAAAGATGATGTTGTTTAATATATTTGTAAAATCAATGTTTCCAGACTAAAGGGAAATGTATCATGTCATTGTCTTTCAAGCACTGGTAATATCTTTAAAGGACTGGTAATATTATTAAAGACTTTTTTTTAATTCAAATTTTATCATAATAAATTCCTAATTTGATTTTTCTTTTACTAACTATACAGTTGTAGTTTTATCCAGGAAATGTTGTTTTATTAAGTCCTAATTTATTGATGTTATGTCCCTGTAAACAGTAAATAAATGACTTGCTGATGTTTTGTATCACAGGAGACAGGTAAACTAAGCCTCGGTCACCACCTCGGACCACTGAAGCAGGGCTGTGTGTACTCCGGGGGTACGTACTACTATTGTATAAAAACATTTTATTTTGACTCAATACAAGACAAAAAATAATGAATAATGGTTTTGCATTTTCATAATTTTGAACCAGTTTATAGTAGAATCCTTGAAGTTTGTAGCATCTCCTAACTGACAAAAAACTATGTTGCATGTTTTGGTGTGTTTTAAGTTTTTCCAACCTTATTGATTTAAAGGGGCTGGTCGGGGAAAAAATGTCATATTTGCTAAAATGACATACACATGTTTAAAATACCTTCTTCTGAAATATACCGATTCAAATTTTGCTGAAATTCACTCCCTAAGAGTAAAAAATATAATCATATTAAAGAAATCCTAAATCGTCACATGACAGTCTAAAACTCTCAATTGACCCAGATCAGTGATGTAATTTTACCGCACGCGCGTCATCAACAAGGCCAAATGTTAAACATCGCGGCGAATGAAAAAGATGCATACAAAAGTCATGACAGGCACGAGGTATCAATACCGTTATATATAACAACAACATATAGGTAGGAATACTACACTTGCATCATACATGACCTTTGAAAACAATTATTTACGTATAGTATTGCTGTCTTGTCCGCTTGTTGAGTCGGACATGGCTGATAGACGGCGTGCTGTTGTCGTTATCTTCACTGCCACACTTTCGAAACAACCACGTGACATATATAAATAGATCTGCTCTAAATTTACGCGGGGCTTCCCTGAGATTTCAGTGGTCAAAACTGGACATTGCAAGCAGATCTCGACCATCATATTGCCGTGGTATAACTTTTGGAAGGCCAGAGAACGCATTTAGACCCATTTATTTTGTAATTTTTTCCCCAACCAGCCCCTTTAAGCTTGACCCTGAAATTATTTTTTTATCTTTTTTTAACTTTTTTTAACTTTTTTAACATAATCAATAAAACAAAATCAAGTTTATTTATAATGTTAAACCATGTGAAAACTTGTGTTGTGTTGATTGGCTTTATTTCAACAAGTTCAATCTGTTTTAACTAAAAATGGATTGCTGTATTCCAGGTTCCTGTGACCAGATTTCTCAGATGTTGGGGGTGAATGGTAAGAATGTCCTCTATGTTGGGGACCACATCTTCGGAGACATCCTGCGATCTAAAAAAGAATGGGGCTGGAGGACTTTCCTTGTGGTTCCCGAGCTTCAACAGGAAGTACGGGTTTGGACAGAGAAGAGGGCATTGTTTGAACGTCTCGAAAGTTTGGAGTGTGAAATGGGGGAGAAATACAGGTAAGCTTCATATATTGATAGTCTGGAGTGTGAAATGTTGAAAATGTGAAGTATTAAATTTAAATTGAGATATGGTTAGTCCAACCTCGTAGCATAAATCAGGCAGAATTCTTGCTATTCGCAAATATTGTTGCATGGAAGTTGTTTTGATAAGAATTCTACTGTGCAGAGGAAATATTTAAGTTGTGCTGTCTTTTGCTTTCTTATTATAGAATTTCAAAATTTCATAAAACGCTGATGTTGTGTGTTACAGAAATTTAGATAGCAGCCACATGGAGAAGCCAGATATCCACAGCATACAGAGAGCTATGATGGTAGGCACGCCTCTTAAATACTTTCACAAAATAAGCGCAGGAAACAGAAATGACAGATTGTCTCCCCTTATCATATCTTTACTATTTATACAGTGTGTTACAACAATTAGTCCTTAAAGTTTCTACTACCGGTACTTCACTAAATGTTAAAATAAAAATGTCAACTCATTGTTTTGCTTTTATTTTGGTCAGAATATTAGCCTGATGAGAGTACTATATAACATGCCTGGCTCAGCCTGATAAATATTAATAAGAATTTTTTTTTAAATAATGCAAATTTTATTTTTTCGTTTTAGGAAACAGTCCATGAGCTTGACCAATCCTATGGAGTGCTTGGCAGCCTGTTCAGGAGTGGTAAGTTTTCATCACCTGTAGGGATTTTTAATGAGGGAAACAGATTTATCATCTGATTCTTGAAAACCATGCTTTATTTATAAAGGTGTTTCAGCAAGAACTTAAGAGAGTATGTTTTCAGTGATTTTAATTGACATATATAACATACTGATTGGTGTATTGATGGGAAAGTGTTGTGAAACTATTTCTATGGTTTTATTACCGGTATGTCAGTGGTGGTCAAGGTGGAGTACATGTGTAAACTGTGGATTTTCTTGTCAAGTTTACTGTGCCTTAATTGATTTCCATCATGGACATATCACCATAGTGAGTGCTGGAAGTGTCACTTTGATTACTAGCGACATGCCGTGGACTTCTAGAAGTCACTTTGGTAAACAGTGTACGGATCTGATCAGTCAATGTACACAATAGTTACATAGCAATGTATACAAAAACTACTAAAAGTTTAATTAATTTGGTAATAATCCTGAAATCCCTGTCTGTAAAAACAATATGATATCAATAATACTATGTGTACAGTGTTAGTATAACACAGGGGTTCTTTAACTTTGAGGTGTTGAGTTGATGAGATCGTTTTGTATGAAACAGGTTCCCGACCGACGTTCTTTGCCTCCCAGGTCCAGCGATATGCAGACATCTACTGCGGAGACTGGTTAAACATGCTTCACTACCCATTCACCTACATGTTCCGTGCTCCTTCCATGCTGGTGAGTGGAATTTCTGTTGGTTGCTTACATTGGATAATGGATTTATTGAGAATTTTCAAAATTTATTAATCGTAATTCCGGCTGTTTAACAGTGTAATAACACTATCACATAAACTTTCCATATGAAACGTGTTATATATATATTGCCTATTGTCTAGACAAACCCAAAACTGGTGGTATTTTCTTTACATTAGTGTTGTACATGTCTTACAGATGCCCCACGAATCGACCGTTGGACACGATCTCTCCTTTGAGGTAGACCATGGTGAGATGTCTAACCAAAGACTAAACAGCTTTGCAACAGATTCAAATTCAAAACTCACAAACGGCGTGCATCCCCGCGCCGACAGACCAACAAAGGTCACACATCACCACGATGATGACGATTTTGATGAGGAGACCAGCAGTACAGGGAGTGATTGAATTGAATGACCTTTTGAACTTTGACTGTTAAATATATACCTTTGATGACGACAACAACGATATTGAATTACTGTATGACAAATCAATATTTAATCAGGTGAATTTCCTTGACAGTGGCTTAGTACATTACTTGTTACTGATGGTGATCATTTTCCTTAGTACATTACTTGTTACTGATGATGATCATTTTACTTAGTACATTACTTGTTACTGATGGTGATCATTTTACTTAGGAGTTGATGTAATTATGTCTCAAGTTTACAAGTAAATTTGGTTTGAAAAATTAGCAAGGTGTAGAAAAGAACTTGCTACAATATATATTTAAAGTAGTCTGCTGAACAATATTGAACAAAACACATTTTGTGCTATCTTGTGTAAATTGTAAATAGGATGACTTTAACCTCGACTTTACAAAACCTTGACTCAGAGTCGTCGTCACACCCCTCCCCCCCCCCCCCCCCCCCCCCGCAATATTAAGTTACATATTAGATGGTGGAGTTTGTGTATTGAGAAGAAAGAAGGATATTTGAATTTGATTTGTTAATGTTATGTAATCAATATATATAATTTATGAAGCTGCCTTCAAAATGAAGGTTTCAGTATAGTCATATTATATGTGTAGTCATTTTGTTTTTAATAATATTGCCAGGGATTGGAGATGGATTTTAAGGTATGTTTGCCTGTGCTGTTATGAGAAATCTTTGAATAGGTTGGACATGATTATATTATCTATGAATATCTATGAACCGCATCATCAATGTCTCATTTACTTTAATATGAAGTATTACATTATTTTATTAGAAGGTCATTTATTGTTCTAGAAATGTTTTGTTTTGATTTTTAAAAGAAACCAAGTCTCTCACTTTGAATCTACACACAGTTTTATTATTTTTATCCTAAACCAGTGCTATATGTGTATAGGCATTGACTGCTTAATACTGTTAAAACAAATAGAATTTGCGTAGTTTTATGTGAAGTAATAAAAAACCTTACAATTGGAACATAAATCAAAAGGTGAATCCATTTCATTTGTCTTCCAACAGCTGCCATGATCATTGATGACGTCGATCAACATTCACAACTCATTGTCAAAGAGTTATGTTTCTGATTACCTTCAAAGTATTGCAAGTATTTTGTGCTTCATATGTTTGTGGTTGTCCAGTAACTATATAAAACAATTCTGACCTTAAAAATCACAGATGCCAGTAACATTGTAAAAGGTCATTAGGTAATTTTTGAATAGCTGCTGAATTGTGAATGAGAATGACCATGATATCTATGGATTTACGCTTTATTATTACATGTAGTAAATTTGAGTTTACAGCAGGTTCCTATGCTTCAGAATACCAATGTTATTATACAGTATCCAAATATATATTTACATGTTTCTTTGCATGTTATGAGGAAAAGTGATTGTGGTATAACATATGTTGTAGAGACAAATGGACTATTTTGATTTTGATTTTTGTTCTAGCTTCAATTTCACTTTTTAAAAACCAACTTCTATGTTTGTTTAAGAGCTAGATAGAAGAAATTTCTTACAAGTTTTTAAACCATTTTCAGAAATCTCAGATTCTTTGAACAATGTGCGCAGCAGGAGCTTTCAGAAATCTCAAATGTATATGAGGACAATATGTATGTTTCATACCAATGGCCCTGTTTTATTAGATTCCTATTTACATGTTTGTTAGTTGTATTAGGTCTGTTACCCTATTCGTTGCAATCAGTGCCCCTCCCCCTTTTTCAAAAGAAATTGAAATTATACAGACCCCCCCTCCCAGTCTTGACCAGGCCTGTAAAGTACTTACACTTTAAAGCAGAGATATATGTCTGGTGATCATGTGGCTGGGCTCCTGTGAAGCTGATGAAACCTTAGATTTTCAAACCTCCAGCCACACTCGAATGTTAGTAGTGCTCTTCTGTGATAACAATGGTTGATCATTCATAGCGTAACCTTTTGTAACATAACTCAGATTTTATAAGCACTCCCCTAGCAAATTTTTTAACTGCCCTGGGTGCTAATGAGAGCATATATGGTAAAATAGAGTAAACCTTTAAAATGTAATCACACGCTATATATAATTATTGTTTTAATCCTATATTAGGCAGTGCTATTTTTATTCACATCCCGAGCAATTATTTTATGTTTTACACCGGTGACCTCCTGGATCTATTATTTTTTAGTGCAATACATTGTACCACAATCAAACATGAACATGCATTTCTCTCTCTCTCTCTCTCTTTCTCTATGGCTCTTTTCTCTATATTTCTCTCTCTTTCATGGGGAAATACATTGATTTGTATTTCACCCTTTTTAGTATACCTCCAACTGAGTTAATGTGTCAAGCCATACAAAGTATGTAATTATGTGAATATTTAATTAGGAAAATTTCATTGGTACTGTAACTGTATGAAGTCCGTTTTCTACAGTTTCAGCAGGAGTTATACTTTTTTCCATTGACAAGATAACAGAAATGTCTGATATTTTCATTCTAACTGGTTCATTTGTTAAAAAGATCATCTATTACACCAAATTTAGCAAGATCTAGCATAAAACCTTAGATTTAAACTCCAAATTAACAAAAAACCTCAGTAAATAATTTTTGTTTCATTGTTTTTTGTTTTTTTGTGATATTCATGTTAATTGTTTTCAAATTTGAACAAAAAAATCTACCACAGTCACATATATGTACAGGTATTCATTTTGATTAAGTTTATCATAAAAAAAAACCACACTTGATTAGTAAACGGTGATGTTTATTGGGTTTACATTATTTTGAATGTGAGAACTGGATTTCTCTCTTCTGTACCTTATTTTGTGTGTTGTTTTCTTATGTTATGTTTGTTTATGTTTGCTAGTAATGATGGGACCAACACGTTGGAACGGAAAGTCAGATTGTCGTTAAAGTTTGTTTTTTAAATGACCTGAGCTCAGTAGTTAACATTACAAAAATGTCTTACAGTTTTTAGATACCTAGTACATGTACTAGTTTATTTTTAAATAGGTTGTGGATCACAAACCTATTTGCATGCTTACCCTACCAATAATGACAATGTTTAGATAAGTATTCCTAAAACATGCCATCTATGCTTTTGACAGGTAGGGTTTAAATGTTTATGATAAGTGGCACTGAAGGGCATTATGCTTATGATAAGTGGCACTGAGGGTTCTAATGCTAATGACAGGTGTCCCACAAAGATATTTATAAAATCAAGGATGTTATTTTTTGGTTTGCAACCCTACCAAATAATCTTGTTTTACCTACCTACCAGCTACCGTAACTTATAACAAATACGTAAAACGGTATAAAATACCAATATCAAAGGCGTACAAATACTTTGTAATAAATACAATATACAACATAAATCAACATATTATTTAGTTTACATTGTCATTTCTTTTGAATGTGATAGTGTATAACTATTTAACACAATCCATTGCCAGGTAACCAGTTAAAATACTAAAACAATTGCAATTTAAGCTGATGATATAAGATATTTAGCCATTCAAGACAACTGAACTCATTCACCCCTGAAATTCCATAATGCACTATTCCACCCTTTGAATTGGAAGAGTTCAAATGTGTCTTCAGGGGTGAATGAGTTAAGATCAATAGCACAGAAAATCAAAGATCCCCGAGTTTATTATATACTTACTTTGCAATAGAACTTATCCACATGTTTTACAGGATGAACTCATTCATAATAGATGTTCCATTTAGACAGGTATAATAGACACACAGTATCCTGTAGTAGTTAAGGACCGTTTACACAGGTACATAAGCAGTTAATGTTATATAATCAAAGGACCGTTTAACCTCTACATAGACAAAAGCTAGTCAATGTTAGCTTGGTGCTAATTTACTGCCCATTGAACATCACAGGTAAATAAATAACAAGCTCCATATATCTGATATTATATACTATACAATCATATCCATATCTATGTTCTATATTGTACACTATTAAATGTTCTTTTGTCTAGCACAGAGGTATGTTCCACATCAGATTGTGCTTTAACCATTTAATAAATGTATGCTTTCATTTGCCATATCTTTATATATTACTTCAATCTTATCTCATATTTTAAACTAATTACATATTTTTTTTAATAATATCAATTTTACTGCATGCCTTATTTTCATTTAATGCCTTATTTTGCCCTTTGTTTTGTGTCAGCATATAAGAGATACAAATACTGTAGTGTATAATGATGTTTTATTGTTGTTGTTTATTTATACTAAATAGCTATATACATAAATATTTCATATTCACACAGACCACGATCTGTGAACAAATCATTTTAAGGGTTGAGCAGTATATTCAAACGACTTTATTTGTTTGTTTTTCTTGCAAATAACATAAAATTTCATGAAGTCAAAGTAACGTCTTACATATGTACTTTGTTATTGAATACCATCCCATGTGTATTAAAAGTGAAAAAGAACCATCAATTTTATTAGGTCTACTGCATTTTGTTTATTGTTGATATGTTGGGTCAAATTGAGCTTTACATTTTACCTGGTGAAGCCAAGCTCAGGATTTCCCTATTATGTATAATTGTAAGATGACATATGCAATATATGAGGTGGGTGAATGCCATTAAGTGCTTTACCATTTACTTGACTACCTCCAGTGGTGGTCATCATTTTAGATTTTTGTCTATTGGTCAATATATATGTTTATAGTGGAACGAAACACTGCTATTTGTACATAGAGGAATAAACACAATACAAAACAAAATGTTGTTTGACTATATTTCATTTACAGAAAAATAGGTGGGGGGGGGGGGGGGGGGGTACAGTAGACCATTCCTGGAGGATCACAACGACGAGAAGAAAACAAACATAATAATGTATTATTTTGTCACTGCCATATATTGAATAAAATACTGTTTAAACTAAACATAATGACCAACTAATTATCATCAATCGGCTTGTTTCTATATTTTCAGGCCAATTTTCCAGCAACAATCATATTGCAATGAAATGTCGGAATTATTTGGATTTGTGTCAGGGATGTTTTAGGATGTAAATCTGATCGTTAGAAAAAAATGCTCAGAACAGTCTCGTTGAAAATTGAGATATTGGTTACATTCCCTCGTTTGGACTTGTTTCACAAGTTAAATATTTATAACATATAACTTAGACATCCTTGTCCATGCCTTAATCATTATTGTGTCCGTGGTAAGGATGCGTAAATAAACCAATCATTGAGTTTGCCTTTGAGAAACGG